TACACATGTGCTTTCCCAACAGCACACATTGTCTGCGTTTGTTTAAATAGGCTCACACGTATTACCGAGATAAGATAAAGGCACTAGTAAAAATGTTGGCCGAGACATCGAACAAATTACAATGATATTTCGACCAGAAGATATTACTTAGATCCCTAATTTATTAATAAAACACCAGCTTTGCAATTCTCAAATTAATTTATTGAATTCAAGTACAAGCAAATATTGATTGGATGATCGATCGATGACAATAATATAATATATATTATTATGGAGCAGTGTGTTTGGTTTTGTTCTAGTATGAAATTATAATTTATGTAAATGATCCTCGGGGAAGAGATGTTGTTCGTCCCGTTTGGACCTGAGGGTGTTTAGTTTTGTTTGATGTTTGGAGAGTTTCTAATTTAGAATCCAAGTATTGTTTAAGTAACTCTTCTACTGTTTTGTTGGTATTTAGTTTGGAGAACTGTTACTGTATGGTTGCGTTTGGGGGTGAATGGATTAGTCGACCTCCTCGATGGTGGGGCCAGCACCGCCGGCTCCGGCAGCGCCAGCGGCTCCAGCAGCTCCGGGCATGCCTCCGGGACCACCGGGCATACCGGGCATACCGCCAGGAGCACCACCGGCGCTCTGGTACAGCTTGGTGATGATCGGGTTGCACACACCCTCCAGCTCCTTCTGACGGTGCTCGTACTCCTCCTTATCAGCCAGCTGGTTGGCATCCAGCCACTTAATGGTCTCGTTGCACTTGTCGAGGATGGTGGTGCGGTCGGAGTCCGCGATCTTGGTCTTCAGGTTGTCCTCGTCGAGGGTGGCCTTCATGTTGAAGCAGTACGACTCAAGACCGTTCTTAGCGGCGATGGTCTCCTTCTGCTTCTCATCCTCGTTGCGGTACTTCTCGGCCTCGTTGACCATGCGCTCGATGTCCTCCTTGGAGAGACGGCCCTTGTCGTTGGTGATGGTGATCTTGTTCTCCTTGTTGGTCGAACGCTCCAGGGCAGTCACGTTCAGGATGCCGTTGGCATCGATATCGAAGGTCACCTCGATCTGGGGCACGCCACGGGGTGCGGGAGGGATGCCCGACAGCTCGAACTTTCCGAGCAGGTTGTTGTCCTTGGTCATGGCGCGCTCGCCCTCGTACACCTGGATCAGCACTCCGGGCTGGTTGTCAGAATAGGTGGTGAAGGTCTGGGTCTGCTTGGTCGGGATGGTGGTGTTGCGCTTGATCAGCACGCTCATCACACCGCCGGCGGTTTCGATACCCAGCGACAGCGGGGTCACATCGAGCAGCAGCAGATCCTGCACCTCCTGCGACTTGTCGCCGTGCAGAATGGCGGCCTGGACGGCAGCGCCGTAGGCCACAGCCTCATCGGGGTTGATCGACTTGTTCAGCTCCTTGCCGTTGAACAGATCCTGCAGCAGACGCTGCACCTTGGGGATACGGGTAGAGCCACCGACCAGCACAATGTCGTGGATGACCGACTTGTCCAGCTTGGCGTCACGCAGAGCCTTCTCCACGGGGTCCATGGTGCTGCGGAAAAGATCGGCGTTCAGCTCCTCGAAACGGGCACGGGTGATCGAGGTGTAGAAGTCGGTGCCCTCGAAGAGCGAGTCGATCTCAATGCTAGCCTGGGTGGAGGAGGAGAGGGTACGCTTTGCACGCTCGCAGGCGGTGCGCAGACGACGCAGAGCGCGCTTGTTGGTGGTCAGGTCCTTCTTGTGCTTGCGCTTGAACTCCTGCACGAAGTGGGTGACCAGACGGTTGTCGAAGTCCTCACCACCCAGATGCGTGTCTCCGGCCGTAGACTTGACCTCGAAGATGCCGTCATCGATCGACAGGATGGACACATCGAAGGTGCCGCCGCCTAGATCGAAGATGAGCACGTTGCGCTCTCCAACGGCCTTCTTGTCCAGACCGTAGGCGATAGCCGCGGCAGTGGGCTCGTTGATGATACGCAGCACGTTCAGACCAGCGATGGTGCCGGCGTCCTTGGTCGCCTGACGCTGAGAGTCGTTAAAGTAGGCCGGCACGGTGATGACAGCGTTGGTCACAGTCTTGCCCAGATAGGCCTCGGCAGTCTCCTTCATCTTGGTGAGCACCATCGAGGAGATCTCCTCGGGGAAGAAGGTCTTCTTCTCGTCCTTGTAGGTCACCTCGATCTTGGGCTTGCCGTCAGCGCTGACCACCTCGAAGGGCCAGTGCTTCATGTCGGACTGCACAGCGGAGTCTTCAAACTTGCGACCAATCAGACGCTTGGCATCGAAGATCGTCTGGGTCGGGTTCATCGCCACCTGGTTCTTGGCGGCGTCACCGATCAGACGCTCCGTATCGGTGAAGGCAACATAGGATGGAGTGGTACGATTACCCTGGTCGTTGGCGATGATCTCGACCTTGCCATGCTGGAACACGCCCACGCACGAGTAGGTGGTGCCCAAATCAATACCAACAGCAGGAGCTTTAGACATCTATAAAGAATAACAGGAATACACTTTTAGTTATATACTTATACTTTTATACAAAAATATAAAAACAAGCTCAATTCAATGTAAAGTTTGTCAAGAAAAAAGTGATATTGAAACGCGTTGCTTTTTGAATTAGATCGATGGGAAATATATGACAGCTGCGTTGGGAATTGTGTTTTTAAAATAACAAGTACAGAGAAAGAGAAATTATAAAGATCGCTTAAATGATTCTATACATCATTTTTGACCAGATTTGTAGAACATATTTATTAATTAATATTTAATAAAGCACACCTAAATGCAGTACGCTTCAAAGTTCGAAAAATTTAAAGCGGCTTAACATTACTAAAAATTGAAATATCTGCTGTTTTCCTTCTGTATAGTTTAGGGGTTGTTAAATACGTTTTCTTAACGACCAAGGCAAAGTAGAATACATTTTGTGTTTCCTAGTTAAAGCGCCATCTTATTTCGCCCAATATACCCAGCGTTACGTTATCATCGCGCCATTTACGCCGCATGTTTCCCAAAAACGGGCAGCCGAAATTGGTAATCGACGAGCTATGACTAATGATGCGATCGGGAGTCTTTTCATCAAAACGGCAAGATCAATGCCGGATCGGATCCGAGAGAGTTATAAATAATGGCGGCCGACAGCTGCCTTCGTTTTTCTGCGAACTGCGCAAAAAAATAAAAGAAACCGCATGGACAAAGACGAAAATTCTGGAATGCTAAAAACGCAAACACACGCGCACACACACAACCAAAAAACCACGCTGCCAGGTCATTTTGGAGGGTGATTCGTGCAATGCGTGAGAAAGAGACGACTATAGCGTCGAAAACTGTTTTGTATGTGTTAGTTTTACCCGCTCACTAACACACACGTGCCCGTACTTTGAATGCCGGTTGGCAACGTGTGTTTTCTAGCTGAATATAAATTTAAAACCCGCATAAGTATAAATTTATGGATGTTAGAACTATTTATAAACATATGTTTATCTAAATCATCTGTCTGGGTGGGATCTAGCTTCTTTCTGAAGTGTTTTGTGGGTATGATAAAGGTGCTTGTGTGCGTGGGAGAAGCCGCACATTTTTTACACTGGAATATTCCAGCAAAAGCGCAATGGCACTTGAAATAAATTACGATGAGTAATTTGGACATTGATTTGTTCGAAACACAAAAAAAAAAGCAATGTCAAGACCCCGCGTTGGATGACGCAAGTTTTCTCTACATAGGCGATGCAAGGCATCTTTTGTTGCAGTGTGAATGTGAAGCGGCACATTTTCCAGTGGAATATTCCATATAAGCATAATCACGTTTTAACATTAATATGCAATTATATTTAGCTTATCGAAAGATTTATTGCTTTATTACTCTTTGTATTCAGTAGAACACGTAAACGTGCTGATGCAATTATTAATGTGTGTGTGTGTGTGCGTGACTCATTTGGGGTCGAAAGTTCGAGAAGTCTCATTTATTGATTAAATAGTATAATGGGCACTTGGGGGACTACATAAAAAACACGTGGTTGAGTTCTATACTTTTCTTGGGCTAATTGACATGAATTGAAAGACACTTCTTGCAAATAATAAGTAAACAGTTAATAAACACTTACCTTGTGTGTTGTTTCTTAGAACGTACTAAAATATAACCGTTTAATTGCTACTTCACTTTAAATCTGCCGAGCGCACCTTCGATCAAACTGGCTGGCGTTTTTTTCAAATACACACATATGAAAGTGCTGCGGCCTTTTATAGATACGGCGTGGTGTGCCCGTTGCGCGTATAGCGAAAATACCGTTAACAGATTTTATGAAAAAGAGTTTTTGTAATTGTTCAATGGTCACATTGTCTTTGTTGTAGTAATGTCCTTTTCAGACTAGTCGCATTTTCTGAAAAAAACATTTGAAGAGATCTTCATAAGGGTTCTCTTCACACTAATACCTAAGACAAATTTTTCGGCATCGATTTGAATTATGGTATTTTGAGTTAAATATTCCAAATCGTATGTGTCACAGAAATCCCTTTGTTCGATATTGCGTTAAATGTTCTATGTCCATTAATATTAACGAAGCATTAACCTCAGCTTTGGAAAATCAAAATGGAATTATGAATTATTTTAATTGTTTTAGCTCAACCGTTCCGTTGAATTTAATATTAAAAATATATGAATAATAAAGCAATCGGTTTGATCAATATATTTTCAGTGCAATTAGGATAATTCCCAGGTTTTCTTAGTTTTAAAAATATATGAAAGTTCTAAATAAAATACATTGTTAATGATATAATTAGGTAACTTTTTTACACACTTTCAAAGTCTTGCTCGAACATTTTAACCAAAGACCAATATAACCAAAGACCAATTATATTGGTCTTTGTTTTAACCGTGCTTTAACAGCCTATTAAAAGAAGGTGATTCAGCTCGGGGCAAGGTGAATATCATTGCTAGCGAAGAAGGTGGCAACGTTGGCATCAAATTGCGAAAAATACTGGGATTTACACGAGGTATTTTTTGGCGCTCTGGCTGCGGTCACATTAAGTACAATTCAAGGATAAATAAAGTTTATTGTTGTTAAGTTGCCAAAATTCTTATAAATAAGCTTCCGGCGACAGCAAGTGATGCCCGACTGTCAGGATGAGTGGACTGATAAACGATATCCAGCGCATCATCGGCGACATTCAGTCGGGGAAGCAGGCCATCCGGAACAAGGGCATCGAACAACTAGACGAAAAGCTTTCCAACTGCAGGGAGGATCTTAACGCCTTACTCCAGAGCAAGAGATGCGACTTGTCGTGGCCCGTCCTATTCGACGTATCCAAGGAGGCGCTTATCAAGGTATTTAATGCCTAATCGCCAAATATGATGTTGTCTGATACCAATTATCCCGATCTATCAGCACGCTGGAAGCTTGGAAGATGCCAACGAGAAGACCTTCAAGACATTGGCGGTAAAAAACTATTTGTACGACAATGTCCTCGAGAAGATCACCAAATTCAACTTGGAGGGTAAATCCTTAACACTTGGAATGTTTCCATAGCTAACGTGTCCTTAACAGCTGGCATGCAGAGCTCTGGAAATGGACACTTTCTGGCCAAGACAAGTATTTTTAATGCATTTGAGGAAGGCATCAAGATGCGGGTGGTGGTGAAGCACTTTGGAGACCGCATCGTCAGCTTGCTGGACAGGGGCATTTACTCCTCGGCAACCTATGTGCGCGACCTGAAGATTAACGAGTACAGCCGTAGGAGATTTCTTGTTTAAGAAATTGGACCTTTGAACCACGATCTTCTTTTCAGGCATCCTATCCTACCTGTTCGAGGTTAATGTGGAAAGGGACGAGGTCCTAAGCACTAGGATACTGAAATGCATCACCAAGACTGTCACATTAGCCAAGGACCGCGTTCAGTTACACGCCGATCTAGTGGAATACCTTCCGGAGCTAAAAAACTTTGCAAATTACGCAAATGGAGCCAGAAAATTAGAGATTGTTCGCCTGTATTTAATATTCGCCACAGAGGTGAGGCCGGAAAACGATCTATGCTTAATACTCATCTATGCTCTCTTAGCTCTCTCTTAACTACCATCACCAACTCTGCATCCATATGCAAGAGATATTACCCAAGCTATGCGAGTTCCACGAAGAAGATGTGTTCCGCGACGATACGAGAAACCTCTTCTTCCAGTGCATCACAAAGTCGCTGCATTCGCTGTATCCCAAGCTGGATATGTGTGATTTTAATACCCTTGGGGTGCCCCTTCACGAAAAGTGGACGCAATGCTTGCTTCGTCTAAAAACCATGGTAAACGTGGAGATCAGAAAGAATTCTTTGGCTCGTTACAAAACCTCACAACTGAGCAACGACAAATTCTCAGAGCCATTCATCAAGATGTCTGCGCTGGTCATGTATATTGTAAGCTGAATACTGTATTAAGTAGAATATATAATAACCTTTCAAGAGTTTAGGTTCTGTGGCACTTGGAGTCGAAAAAACTCGATGAAAACGGAGAAGGCGATGCGCCTAAAAAAGTGCCGAAGCCTGCAGATAAAATGGATGTTATATTTGACCTAATCGACAAAAAGGAAACCACATTTAATGATGTCTGGTTTGCCATCTTCGCGGAGCTGCTCCAACTTAGTGGTGTCATAATAAACGTGGCCAACTACCAGCAGGCGCTGAGCACTGTGGCGGAAATAATGCAAATATATGGCAATGCTAGAAATCTGCGGAATCTTCGTTTATGCCTTGGTAGCCTACTTAACAAAGAAAAGGAGTTTCTACAGTCAAAATCTATTGGGGAAAACTTTCTGGGTGAACTGTGGAGTCAGATGGGAAACCATCTAATATCGGAGACCACCACCAACAGCGAGGAGATCAAGGAAAAGCAATTGGCGCTGCAACTGCTGATCAGACATCACAAACTAAATCAGAAGATGGCTACTAGCCTGCTACACAACATCACCTCCAACGAGATGCTTAAACGCAACGAATGCTTCGCCACCATTCGCGAGATATTTGTTCATGCAGACAGCTGTGGTCAGGACAAGGCCTCCCTTGATCTAGAGCCCATTATAGCGTGGGCTTACGGGAGCGGTGAACGGAACAGCGCCGCCCAGGTGATACACAATATAGCTAGAATAGATGCCCGTTTACAGGCAGACACCTTTGCCATCAGTATCATTAACTTTCTGGACGAGCAGCAACTGCAAGAGATTTCCTGTATACAAGCTGTGGCGGTTCCTATTGAACGAAATCTCTTGGCCTACAAGTACAACAAGCAATTGATTTTTCTGGACAATGAATACGCAGCTCCTTTTGAGTCGATCGCTCAGCTGTTGACGGAAACAAAAAACTGTTTGTTCCAGACCAACTATGAATGCCTTATGCGCAGCATTAACTTTCAAATCGCACAGGACAACAGTCCCGCTGGTATTCTCAAAAATCTGAACAGTCTGCTAAAGTTGGTTTGCACAATGGAAAGACTTTTGTTTTACAAGGTGTTCGATGCTAAGAACTTTATTGGCTGTCCTCTGATCAAGAGAATTGGTCTGTATCTTAGCCACATTGAGGTGAGTGCAATATTAAAGTTCATTTCTGAATTGGATGTTTTTAATTCTCTTATTTAGTTCCAGTACAAGGCTAATAGCTCGGAGATGCTAGATGAAAGCGATTTGCGTGAGATTTTAAGGATACAAAACGATGTTCTTGAAGTTTTTAGAATTAATTCAGTTCTTTTGAGTTATTTGGAAAAGCAGCCAATAGAAATGTTGGTGGCATTCGTTGGAACTGCTCTGAAACTGCATTGTAATTGAGAAACCTTTCATAATATTATTTATTTATAGTTAGTATAATTAAACTTTTTAGGCATGCAGAGGGAGCGATCTGAAAATGCGGATCATTCAACAATCACCGCTCAGTGTCTTAACATTCTGGCTGGCCTGTGTGCCTTTAGCTCGCATCGGGATGAAACCTTTGAGCACATCGCAAAGGTGACAATGCGCTGGCAACCCCAAGACGTGCTCATTGTGACCAAGGTATGTGGGGTATATAAAGCAAAACAAAAATAATTTGTATATCAATTTTCAGATGTTGTGTAGCTGCCAGACCATTTCAGATGTATCCAGCACTTGGTTAGTGAACAAACTGAAAACTGTTTTCCAGCATTATCATCAGGATTTGAATGTCATCGACAACGTGGTTGACCATATACCCAGTGAGATGCGATTCATTCACAATTGAAAAAAACCCAACTAATTCATTTCTTTCCAGCGATTTTTTACTTTATCTACAAAATAGAACATCACTTGGATGACATGTTAATGGCCCTTAACTCGCTACTACGCATTGCCCTTAAAAAGTCCTACACATCTCAATTAACAGCCAAAATTGTGCGTAGCGTGGGGTTGATAGCTCAGAAGTGCCCGGACATTTACCTACTCGAAAACTTTACTGTGATATGCAAGTCCACTGCAAAATTTATCACAATGCCTACATTGGAAGTGCGCTTTGCCACACTTTTCACATTCACCATTCTCCTGGAAACAAACTGTGTGACAAACAATGCCATTGGGCACTCTCAGAGTCACTTGGATTTCTGCCAGGAGCTTTACGACAGCATCGAGTTTAACAAGCTGACGGTAGGCTGTGTAAAGATTTTATATGTACTTTAATTAATGATACATTATTCTATCTAGTACAACAATGAGGATGCCATTCAGAACAGTAATGCCTTAGTGGTTCAAATGTCAATTGCCGTCTTCGTACGCAGCTCATTCCACCAAGAGATTGCTTTGAAACAGTTACTGCATCACTGTGCCTTGCGCAGGCTAACCGAAAGTGAGTCGTCTCTGGGATAATCATTTAAGTTAATTTATAATGTTATTTCAACAGCGGAGTTTATTTTCCTGCAAAGGATTGTTCCCTGCTATGGACTATCCATGCGAGATCTCATCCGACCCTTTGCCAGCGTCCTGCTTCACAAGTGGAGCTCCCAGCGCTGGCCCATTTCCAAGTGAGATAATTTAACTACTCGGTTTAATGGATTAATAATTTCTCTACACCAGATTTCCATATTTCCTGTGCTATGCAAAAAAGAATGAGTTTCGCAGAGCCCACGCTAATGAAATTATGGCGTATACATTTCTGTACGGCAAAACAGAGGATATAGAACGATGTAGCAAATCAATCAGTGAGGATGTAAGGCTAAATAGGACGTTTTCTTGAAATAAAAATGTAAATAATGGTTTTTATAGCTTGCCCTTCCTATAGTTGCTTCATTTTTACTGCCCAAAAACTGCTTATGTAGTGAAAGCCAAGGGAATGACTTTAAAGATCATCACCAGTTGCTGTCGGAGAATCTCAGATACTCCCAACTAAATGGCACGGATGTAGATCTGAATGTGGAGACTCTTAACTGTGCGATAAGCATGCTGCACGACACACAGGAATTGAGTAGACTGTTTGGTACCCATGCAACGTGCAGCGAAATTGGCAACTGGTATAGTCTTACTGGAGAATCCCTGTTTAATTGTCTTTACTTGCATATTGTAAGTATTTAAGAGACCACTTCAAGCTTATGTGTCATTTGATTTTGATTTTATTTTAGAACCTCAAACAAAATTCCTTAGGGCACGGTCGAATCCAGTCCATGACCACGCTACAAATCAAACATCCCCGCTTATTGATCGATCTTTTCGGGCGCTTGAAAACCAATTGCTTTACTGCCACCTTTTCCGGTCAGTCCTTGCGTGGTTTATTTCTCTATAGTGAAATTGCAGATGCTGTCTACGACGCAGCCATTGAAAATGAAAAAAAAGTTTTGCAGTGTTCTTATTTTGTTTGCGATATTTGGTTATTTTTGGTTCGATTTTTGCTGCACAGTAAGTTAAAAAAATTAGCAATGATATTGAGTATTTAATTCAATCTAATTTCAGCCAAGTTTAGCCAGGTCCAAATGTCTGTTTTAAACTTTTTGGAACTGTTACTACATAAACCCAGATTCGGCAACAAAGAATTCTCAAATCACTTTGCAGAGGTAGCTAAACTACTAGGTAGTTTTCAACTAGGATGTGAATCGAAAGAAGTAAAAGAAAAAGCCAGGGTAATTGTGATGCAGATTTTGGAGTCAAACAAAGACCAGATCGACCTAAGTTCTTTTCTGGAAGAGACCACGGATTGCGAGTTTCTTAAGCCCTTGCGAGAGAAATATAATTCCAATTTGCCTAACATAGACCAGGCGGATGTGGCCAACAATCTGCGCTCATTTGTAAGACGTCCCACCGCGGAGCGCCTGCGAGACCTGAGGGAATATGTGAGTTTCAAAGCTTATTTTTCTTTGTTTTTAACATGTTATCATTTTAAAACAGATTGCCGTGCACAAGGACAAATTGCAGGAACATGAAAAGCTTTTATTTGATGTCATTAATAGGCTTGTTCAAATGTCGCGAGATACGCATAGTAAGCAGAGCAGTCTGGATGCTCTTAAGTGTCTGGCTCAAATTGGGCCGCTTAAACTATCCAACATTTCTTATTACTTTCAAACTGATTTTGAATCATTTGAGGAGGTAAGTTTGCAAAGTTAGTAATTGTAACCGTTTAAATTGACTTTATTAATTCAGTCGTTAGAAGAGCCCATGCAAGTGTTTTTAAGAGTTATCTTCAAGTCCCTGGAGAAATATTTATTCCACTTTGATCCCAAGACTCATGAGGCTCTAGTGTCTGTAGCCATTCAGGTAGTTAATAGCAAGTCCGCTGTAAATATTTTGGGTAAGTAGACTTAAAAAATGTTTAATTATCACTCAATTTCATCGTCTGTGTTTTCTAGATCAATACAAGAGTTTAAGAATATTTGTTCTCATGTCCCCGAACTCGAGTTTTCTGAATTTTAATAATCAGATTCCCCGCATTAGCTGGTTGGCTGCATTTCAAGCCACCCAAAACTTAGACTACGAGCCCTGGATGTGTGCATTTGTTTCAAGAGTATTCAAAGAGTGCGGCTGGCAGGGATTTGATGATCTGGCTGCCAGCTCTTTCGCCTTTGCTAAGACCTGCCTGCAGCCATTCATTAAATTGCTGCTGGAAAACAATCAGCATCATTTGGAGAGCCTGTGCCAAATGTTGGACTACTTTTTCGAAGGTTTCGTCAGCTCGAAATCTCCGAACTCTAACGCAATTTTCCACAACAAAAGAGCCATTAAGAGGTTCCTGCACATTTGCGAGTGTATACGAATCTTTAATAATTGGTAAGGGATGTTGCCCATTGATATAACAATATTGAGCCATATATACTTTTATTTATTCAGGAGCATTCCCGTCAATCTGAGCAAAGTGGTTCTGGCTAGCAATCACTGCCAGGCATATTTCCTAAGCATTATGTACCTGGAGCTCTGGGCCTGCTCGGCGACCGATTCAGACAAGGCAAATCTCTTGGAAAACGAATCGTTCCAAACATCTGCGAAAAAGGTAATGTAATGTAATAAAATTACGTTAAAACAGCTAACGTGAATCATTTACAGGCATACGAGTCCATTGGCTGTCTGGATGCTATCCCCGGTTTTGTCAACCCTATGCGCTCCCGCTTGGATTTCCTTGGGCGGTCAAGCAATCTATCCACCATTATATTGGAATCGGAGCACATGGACAGGTCCAATGGTCAACTCTGCGTAGATATCATGAAAGGAAATGGTTTATGGTCCTTTGCTAAACTCCAGCAGCACCAAAATATAGAGCCCGATTACGAGATCTTCTGGCGCCTGGGTCAGTGGGATTCGCTGACGGATTCGAAGCAGCAACCACTTCAGACGAAGGCTAGGGCTTCTCATAGTCTGGAGCAGGAATTCAAGCGGCATCACTTCGTTGCCCTCAGGAGCATCGGTCAGCGGGAGGAGGAGAACAGTCTGTCGGCCATCGACATGGCTTACAGCTGTGTGCGTGACATTCTGCAGGAAATCAGTATGGAGTGCCTGCAGAGCGTGTACAAGTACCTTACCTGGTTGGGCTCCCTCCAGCAAATAGAGGAATTTTGTCAGGTGATGGTTTCCAGTGGAGTGTGCGATTTCCTTTGCTGATATTTAAGGTTTTCTCCCGTCTTAGATCCAATTTGGTACTCAAATATCTCCGGGTCAGATGACCAAGGTGTTTGGCAAATGGCAAAAGGAATTGGAGCTCAAATATGGCAACTTTTCCTGCAAGGAGTACATGATCGCGCATCAGATTGCTTTGTTTAAGATGGCGGGGACGAGAGCGGGTCGTCGGATGCGGGAGTTCTATAAGAATAGCCCCATGGATACGTACCTACTTAAGGGAATTGGGGAGTGCAAACGCGCTGGCAATTTAAACCTGGCAGCCAAGTACATCGCCACGCTGCGGGAACTTCCCAATATCAGGGAATTCACAAAGGTAAACTAATTTTCTTTTCATATACAAAATTGCCAATATCTGATTTCAGATTAGCGTTTTGCTGGAAGATGCCGAAGTGAATCTGAAGATGGGCAATCAACCAATAGCAAAGGCCATCCTGGAGCACGTTACATACAACCATGAGTTTAAATTCTGCGTCCAGCGAATTCCGGCGCTGCGGATGCTGGGCGAGTTCCTTCTTGACTACAATGCCAAGACTTTCACCTCGGTGCAGCACCACAACTTTAATACTTCGATAAAAATGATCGATGATTTTTTGCTGCATCGCAAGGCTCTGAGCGAGACTTATCCGGACATCTTTGAGTGGCAGCAGCTTGATGCTTACAGTAGTCGGCAACGGACGGCCGCCTATGCAGCGATGGCAAAGTATGCGGATCGGGAATACCAGCAGCTGTACGATTACCGGCACTCTCAGGAATACCAAACGCTGCTGGACATAATCGAGCAGAACCGCCAGACGGCGGATAAAGTGACCCAGCGCGAGAATCAAGACCGACGGGTCATCTCCATGCAGATGAAACGGTACGCGAGTTTGGACGAGCGCCAGCTGCAGCATATCGAAGAGAAGCTGTCGGAGCATTTGTGCCTGGCAGTGCGCAATCATATGGCTTATTGTCGACTGGACAGCGGCTTCTCGAGCGCCGCCATCTACCGCATCATCTCACTGTGGTTTACAAACGCCACTAATGAGCTGATGCAGCAGAGCATCAAGGAGGAGATCCTCACTGTGCCCAGTTACAAATTCATTTGTGCTGCGAACCAACTTACCGCGCGCCTCAACACAAAGAACGCCAGCCTACTGAAGGGACTGATGGAACTCCTGGTACGCTGTGGCCAGGATCATCCGCATCACACATTCTACCAGCTGTATCCGCTTGTATTTGCCCACCTGGATGGTGAGAATAGCAATACGGAGCGATCGGGCATTGCTCGTAAGATTATTGCTAAGATATGTGAAAAGAATGCCACTGCGGGAGAGTGCAGCAAGCAGCTGGAATCACTACTGCCAGGTATAAGGATTAGGATTAGTTTGTTTATCTTCTTAACCATGTACTCCTTCTTGCAGCCCTGATAACATTTGCCAATGAAGGCAAGACTAATGATAATCATCCGGTATCGGATTCGGCACGTTTAAAGCAGTTCGAAAAAGTGAGACGATGGCGAAATCTAAACGCTGTACAGTGCCCAACCCTTGAGTTGCCCATCATGCCCAGCAAGGAGTACCATATAACAAGTAGGTTACAAATCAAGTTAGCTATATAGTTTTTACCTGAGTAACCAAATACCATACAGGCGTCGTCAAGTGGAACAACGAAATGACGCAATGTGGTGGACTAAATGCGCCTGTTAAGGTGTTGTGCGTTTGCTCCGATGGTCAAACTCGTGCGCAATTGATTAAGGGAAAGGACGATCTACGCCAGGATGCCGTGATGCAGCAGGTATTTGGAATTGTCAACGAGCTGCTCAAGCAGGATTCTGAGTTTATCGAGCGTAAGCTGAAGCTGCGCACCTATAAGGTCACTCCGCTATCCATGCGTAGTGGCATCTTGGAGTGGTGCACCAATTCAACGCCAGTGGGTCATTATCTGGTAGTAGAAGGGAAAGGAGGCGCACATGCACGATATCGTCCAAACGACTGGAATAATAACCACTGTCGAAAATTATCTGCGGTATAATACCTACAAAACATATTTGTATGTGTATTAATATTTTATAAATTATCAGTCCCATCTAAAGTCGACCAAGGAGAAACGATATGAAGTCTACAAGCAAATATGCGAGCATTTGAAACCAGTTTTCCATTACTTTCTCCTGGAGAAGTTTCCCATTCCGGGCATGTGGTTCGAGAGGAGATTGGCTTACACCAATAGTGTGGCCACCACCTCAATGGTGGGCTACGTGCTGGGACTAGGTGACCGACATACACAAAATATTCTTATAGATCAGCAGACAGCCGAAGTCATTCATATTGATTTTGGTAAGTGGCTCAGCTTTAAACAAGATATTTTTGGGTGTTTGACTTTTACTTAGTGATTTGTTGTTTTTCATTTTTCAGGTATTGCCTTCGAGCAGGGTAAGATCCAGACAACTCCAGAGACCGTTCCCTTTCGGCTGACACGTGACTTTGTGGCCCCAATGGGAATCTGTGGCACAAAAGGAGTATTTGCCAAATCCTGCGAGGCCACTATGCACATCCTGCGGCGGTACAAGTCTGTCCTAACCACCATACTCGAGGTCTTGCTCTATGACCCCCTCTTTATTTGGGGCGTACTTAACAAGAAGAAATTAACCCAATCATCCCAGCAATCTAGTAAGTAAAATTTATTTTTAACCATCAGCTTTAGATTTTAATTGAAACCTTCTTAAGGCGAAGAATCGGTTAATTTAGTTGCCCAGCGTGCTTTGCTCTTAGTGCGGAACAAACTGGAGGGCAGAGAGGCCGGCACCCTTGGCGACTCGAACGTCGAGGCTCAAGTGGAGCGATTGATCAACGAAGCCACCCTACCAAGAAATCTGTGCATGCTTTTTCCCGGCTGGGACCCGCAGCTATAAGCTTAAGTACATCACATTTATTACCAGTTATCAATTCGAATAGAAGGTTTTTACGATTTTGTATCAAACTTTTTTGGGTGCTTAATCTATACGAATAGGCTTCAAGTACATTTTTTCGGCTTTATCTGCTATCGGGGGAGGAAACGCCCAAGTGGTTGGTATTACCGTGCATTATTTTAGCTACCGGAGAATTTTAATAAAAAAAATGTTTTTAATGTTTTAGGAATGTTATTGCAATGTGCTTCTTTGTCAAAATTTAGGTTGCACTAATTTAATAACAACTTGTTTTGCTTCACATTGCATTAAGTTCACCTTCTTCATTTTATAATCCGGCAAACCAGCCATAAATCCATAAACGACTATAAAAACAAAGGCTTATCGAGACCCCACTGCGATTACTCGGTATTCATAGGTAGCAAATGAGCGTGCTATTGGAAATACTGAGCTGATAACGGTCGGTTGTGACAAATGTGCTTTTAACAGCTCAATAAGGACGTTGTTACCGACATATCCTTATCACTTTGATAAGTAAACACGGCTGAAACGTCAAATGGTACGTAAATCGTATCAGTTAAAGTTCCACCTCATTTACATCTAATATTTCTTTATTTCTAAGTTTATGGAAAATTCATCAGATTTCAGTCTTAGTTACTTGAGTTTGCCTCAAGTTTGCAGTCGGGCTCCACGCCATCGAAAATGGGAGCACTTTCTTCGCCGCCACCTCCACCAATTATTATTTGGAGAATGTCCTGAAGAGAGAATTTTCCCAAAAAATTGTTGACAGCCTGCAAAATGTGTAGAGAAAGTCTAATAAGTTAATAAGCCATTTTTAAGAGCCGGAAGGTATACCCACCGTCTGCACTTTAGAGACTGCCGTGTCCTGCCCATAGTCCCAAATGTCTCCGAGAAGCTCCACTCCCATTTCGTTGACCAAAGCATGAATAAATTCATTGATCCGCTCCTCTTCCAGCAGGTTGTCAAAGTTAATCTTTAGATCTCCTAAATGTAGCTCAATCTGCAGGGAATATATGGCCAATGGCGACACGGACCTCAATCGAAAAGAGATCAGGATCGAAAAGTTTGTAACGGAGGTCCTAAAAGCAGTGTGGATAGTTAATATATTGTGCTATTGTTGAAGTCAAAATATTTATCCTTACTCGGCATTGCCATCGCCGGCCATGTTCAGGATGTAGGCTAACGATCCTTTAGCGGTGTACAAGGATTCGAAGTATGTGAGTGGGAAGGTGACGTTGATGGTGTTTCTTAAGGCAGGCACCGGGGTCAAAGTAAGGGCAGGCACATCAAAATCGGATAGTCCGTGCAATGTGAAGTTGTCGATGGACCCAGTGAAACTGAAAGGAGAAGGGTTTAGTACCTCTTCGAGAACAGGTCCCATCCTTTGCTTACTCCACCAGGTATTTATTGTTCAGTGCTGTCTCGGCCGGACCCAGCTGCAGAGGATCCAAGGCGGGCAGGCCCAGATTTGGGATGGGATGGCACATGCGCATTCGGAACTCATTGAGGAACGCCAGGATCTGTGTCTCGTAGACACACGCAGCAGGCACCATACAAGCGTAGAGGATGGCCGTTGCCAAAAGGACCTGTGAAGTGAGTTGTGCCCCCTGCATTCTGCCGATTGACTCGCTTTCGCTAGGCTTTGAGTAACTACTGCGGAGCCAGCGCGCGCACACCCCGATTTTGTTGGCGCACTTTTCAAGTGGATCCCATTCTGTGTGTCAAGATACGACGTTTATTTCAATATTTTGGCAAACACTTATCTTCGCTAATCGCGGACGGGGCCCCGATTTCGGCCGATTACTGTGGCGGGTTAGTGTACCTATTGCCGGTGCTTCTGTTTGTTTATCAGCATAATCTCAAGCTTCTGCTGAAACTATTAATAACTACGGGCTACTGTCCTTCTGGTTTTGGCTACACTTGCTCCGGCGGCTGACGCAGATGCTCCGGGACTTGTTGCAGCTCTGTCCTGGAAGCCTGCAGCGCCACACCTTCGGGCAGGTTGCGTTCAATGTACTCCAGAAAGGTGTCCAGCGTGGATCCCGTTAGCTTGTGGAAGTTCATGTAGCGGAAGTGGGTTCGCACCTCGTACTGAACGCGATGCTTCTTGTAGATGTGAACCGACTTCAAAAGTGTCATCCTTTCATGGTGCGCCTTGCGGGGCGACCAACTGCATGAGGATTTGGTATATTTATTAAGAGATCTCTTGTGGACGGCGGACGCCACTTACCACTTTCCCTTCTCAATGCCCAAATGCTCGGCGGCCGTGGTGGCGAACCAGGTGTAGCTCTTCAGAACCGCCGGATCAATTCCTCGCATCTCAATCTCAAGTTTGCTGTAAAGTTTGTCCGGCTCTGGTACAGGTGTCGTGGGTGAGACATGTGCCTGTGTGCCGGAAGTGGCGGTCACCGCGGATAGCGCCCGCACTGGCTGTGCCCAGCGGAGAGTCTTTAACACCTATGTATCAAAATGTATATGTTTGATTCGAATTTTCTTTAATAAACTAGCCAGAAATACCTTCAACATATTTTTATTTACAACTAGAATTATGCAAGTGCGGCCCCTGGGAATAAAGCACCTAACGCCTTTTTGAAAAATACTGAAAATTACCACCTTTGTTTGTGGGTAACGGTAATTAGCTTACCCTGTAGTAAAATTTATAAATTACATAGACAATTAATGTTTTTGGATTTTTCATTAAGTAATTTAATGATTTCTTATTTAAGCTCGCGAGTTCATTTTTCGAAACACCTAAGACTTTTTAACTAGATGTTCATTTTCAATGTGATTTTCAAAATAAATATAACTGAAGGTATCCTATAAAAATACGTTAGTATATACCAAACGCGCTAGTTGATTTTATTCTTGAAATCTGCACGTGCTGGCGCCGCTTAACAAGTGTGATATTTATTTAACGTTTTTATATTTGTGGGCCTTGCCAAACGATTTTACTGAGTAACTCCAAAAGCAGGACTGAAGGAGTTGCAATCAAAGCCAGCATGAAAGACACCGAAATTAAAGGTATGAGCCGCCAAAGCTGTAAACTCCAGTACAATGTAATTTATTATTAATCTTATTACAGAAAACCACTCCAAGGAGGAGGAGCCCCAGAAGGAGGCACCAGAAGATGCCAGCTCCGATGAGGATGAGTATGATGACATAGACGATGACGAGGACGAACCGATGGACGAGGGCGAGGAACCAACCACATGTCTTTTCTGCACCGAGACATCATCAAATATATTGACTGCCATCAACCACCTGGACGCCCGGCACAAGGTGAATCTGTCGCAGCTTAAGCAGAAATTCCAAATGGATCAGTATTCCTTCATCAAACTGATTAACTACATAAGAGCCAATAAGATTACATCCGAGCAGTTGCTTTCCGCTGACCAGGCTCTGTGGCAAGATGAGCAGTACCTCAAGCCCGGCGAATATGAGCCATGGCTGTGCTACGACTTCGAAGAGCTCAAGACAGACGCCGTTCCGGCCCAAGCTACGGTGCCCGAGCTGCAGCTGCGCATTGCAGAGCAATCCCAGTTGCTGCAGCAGGCCAACGAGGACATGGAGCGCATGCGCAACGACTACAAGGAGCTGCTGCAAAAGGTGCATGGTGACGGCGAATCCAAGGCTTCCAGCAATCCCGTGCCGCGAAACAATGTCAGCCTGGACAATGAATACTTCAAAAGCTACTCCCACTTTGGCATCCATCACGAAATGCTGAGCGACAAGGTGCGAACCAGCACCTATCGCGCATCCCTTTTCGAAAATGAGGCAGTTGTCCGAGGCAAAACCGTTCTGGATGTGGGTTGTGGCACGGGAATTCTCTCTATCTTTGCCTCCAAGGCAGGTGCTTCCCGCGTCGTGGGCATAGATAACTCTGACATCGTGTACACGGCCATGGACATAATCCGGTAAATCCGCAAAGCCCTTTTTCATTTCTCCTTTAAAATCTTACTTAAACATTATCTAAATACGATTCTTCAGGAAAAACAAAGTCGATAATGTCCAGCTGATCAAGGGACGCCTAGAGGACACAAATTTGCCGGAGGACAAATATGACATCATAATTTCCGAATGGATGGGCTACTTTCTGCTGTACGAGTCCATGCTAGACAGCATCATCTATGCCCGCGACAATCATCTTAATCCCAATGGCATTATCCTGCCTAGCCGCTGCACTCTCAGCCTGCTGGGATATGGAAACGACACCCTCTATGCCGAGCAGGTTGAGTTCTGGTCTAACGTCTACGAGGTTAATATGAGCGATCTGAGGAAGCGTTCCATAGAGGAGCCCCTCATGGAGGTGGTGGACGCAGAGTTTATGCTGACAGACCCCGAACAGATCGCCAACTTTGACATAATGACTGTTGATCTGAACTATCCCAACTTCAGTCACCAGTTTAGCCTGAAAGTCACGAAACCGGGTCGGTTGTCTGCCTTTGTAGGCTATTTCGACACGCTTTTCGAGCTTCCCACCGCCGTCATGTTCAGCACATCACCAAGTGCGACGCCCACCCATTGGAAGCAGACAGTTTTCTTTATTGAGCAGCCTCAAACGGTAAAGGAGGGAGACATCATCAGTGGGAAAATCACTTCGAGGAGGCATAAAGAGGATGTCAGGGCACTCAGTGTAGATATAGAAGTTTTCGGTAAGAAACACAAATACATGGTGGTGTAATGTTTACAATTCGAAAAGAATTTAATAAACTACGATCGAGATTAAAAATGTCGAACCCCTTGCAATCAAGATAAAATCAAAGTCTGGGTTTTTCAAATCATTTTTAATTAAAGATTCGTAGATCGTACGTTTTGCTGACAAATGAGAGCTTAATTACTTTTTAAAAATATGTAAATATATATAAATTAAAATGAGTACCCATTGCCATTTAGACTGGATAGCTGGACATCGGGCACGGCCAAAACATAATCGGTTTTAGTTGCAGTTTTAGTTTGGGGTGTGCAAAAGGAGGCGGAACAGATGCTTTAAGCAGTGTTGGTTTCCAACTCGGAGGCAGGAATCTCTGGTTCCTCGTCGTTGTACACATTCTCGGCCATTTGCCACACCTGCATAATGTTGTCCTCGGACACGGAGCAGATGATCCACGGCTCGTTAGGGTTCCAGGAGAAATCGCTGATCTTGGCCGTGTGTCCGCCATGGATGAAAAGCAGCTCGGGTGGTCCGTCTTCGGCGTCCTCTGAGCTTTGCTCCTCACCAATCTTTGATAAATCCCAGACGTGCAGACGTCGGTCGGTACCGGAGGATGCAAGGATGGTCTCGTTGTGAGGCGACCACTGCACCTGGAAGATCTCGTCCTTGTGCGACTCAAAGGAATGTAGTTTCAGCTTCAGATTACGCAGATCCCACAGGGCCACAGTCTTGTCAGCAGAGCCGGTGGCTAGGATGAACTCCGAGTAGGGATTGAAGCTCAAGCAGTTGACCTCGGCCGTGTGGGCGTCCACCGTGTGCGAGGGCTTTGAGGTGTTGTTGTTCCGCGTGTCCCAGATCATCAGCTTCTGGTCGTCTGCCACCGATCCGAACAGAGACTCGTGGAGCAAATGCCAGGCCACATCCTCGACGACAGCGGTATGCCCGGTGAAAATGTTTTTGGCGTCAATCACACGGTGCTCCTTGGGTGTGGCATTAATGTCCCACAAGCAAATGGTGTGATCATCGGATGCTGACAACAAGTAGCCTGCCAAAGACGATTACAAATATTTTTAAACAGAGATAATAATTATTACACAGACAAAAGAGAATTGGCCGACCGTTTAAAGTAAAATAAGAAGTTTATATTCGATATTTAAATAGAGTTTAATTCAAATTAATTCTACAAAAGTTTGGGTAAGTTAGCATTATGTTCCATAATTAAATAAAAAAGTAAGAACTGAACGATAATATCCCTATGTTTAAGTTTGTATCCAATTGCGATAATTTTTAGGAAAACGTGAATCTATCTACAAGCTTTTAAGCATTAAATGTTTGGAAATAAAAACGATCTCGAAAAAGGTTTCCCCTGGGGTACAGCTTTGCACTCACCATTGAGGTTTGGATTCCACGAGAGGCCGTAGCCCTCCTTTTGGTGCCCGCGCAGGCGCAGATCGGGTTGGCACTCGCCGGACGGCTCCGGCTTGCTGGGATGCTTCGTGTAGTCGAATACCAGGACATCGCTCGACGGTGTCTTGGTGGCGATCACGCAAGCGTTCTGCGGCATGTAGCGCGCCCGGTTTACCTCGCCCTCGTGATTGATCTTTATCTCGATCTCAATCTTGCCGCAAACCGAACCGAAGCCGCCAAACTCGCCCTTCTCGTTGTCGTAGTGGGAACCATCGAACTGGGCATCTTCGCTAGGCAGCTGGACGCTGGCGATGAGCAGGTGGTTCTGCTCGTCGGATGTGTGTGTGCCCAGGATAAGGCGGTGCACAGAGTAGTCCTTGCCGTCCTGCTTGGTCACATCGGGCAGCCACTGGGCGGTCAGCGAAGGCCACTCGAGGGCGTGCGTCATGACCAGGTCGTACAGGAACGGCGTGTTCTTCTTCCAGATCTTGTACTCCTCGTTGATCACGCGCTCCTCGACGGCATCGTCGAAGGATTCCGCTGCTAAAGGACACTGTTACACACTGCGGAGATAATTTATCAATCGGACTTACCATTATCGCTGCGATCCACCATTTCGAGGCTTCTGGGCACACAATTTCTCAGTCTGCGTCAAAAGTCGGCAGCCGAAAAATTCGGGCGCCAAAACAACAAAAGCCGAAGCGGCAAAACGTGTGCACGGAAATTAATAAAGCCCGCTTCGAAATAGAAGCTTTTGCAACGCACACTTGACCGGGAGTCGAACCGGCACCAATTCAGTTAATTCCTGGCTGGGCACTTACACTTTTAACGGCGTAACGTCAGCGCAAAATGGGAAATGGCTAATTTCCTTTTTTTTGCAAGCGCGTCGTCGCTGATAGAGGTGCAATGCAAGCGATTGTCGGCAGGGCTGCCATATTCGATAGCGATAACGGATCCAAACTAACGTTGTGAATAGTGACTGTGATTTTGGTATTTTATATCGTTTTATTGGTATATTTTAAGTCTTTTTAAATCGTTAAAATGTAAACAGAAAGTCAGCATTGCCATTAATATTTATGAGTGCACTGGTTTGCAACGATTTGCTCGACTAGGATTGCAGTATTAATTTATTTAAAGAGAGAGAGAGCCGTTTTTAATTTTATGGATGAGTTGGATTTTTAAAGAAATTAAAAGATCTTAGTTCGTTGGTAGTGTTTGTTAAGAAGGCTGTTGTTCTATGTTGGAAGAGGAAAGGGCATCTTATATATTGAATGAATATAGAAACATATAAAAATCCAACCTAAAAAAAAAACTTAAATTTATTAAAACGGAAAAACCTATTTTATACTAATTTTAAAATATAACAAAAAACTACAAATTTGAAAACAAAAAAGGATTGACTTATAGATTTACAATCATTATGTTCAGTCCCTGCCTGATAATTCTGAATTTAATTTGCTTGTATTAAAATGGTTAATAATAGTAATATTATTAAATTAGGTATATTTTTTAAAGTATATTGGTATATTCTAACGGTTGCACGTGCGGTCGCACTAAATTGCATAAACAAATAGAGCTGTTTACTATATTCGTTATCAGCTTGATAGTTTGAAACCCGTTTAGGCGCCAATGACCGGCTTAGGATGACTATTTGTTGGGGCCTCTGCGGCAGTTGCAGTTTAGTTCTCTGACCGCTGCGATTCCAAACAGCCGTGAATCATATTCCATCTCAACCTCCCCTTTGTGGGTGTAAAATGTTTTTGCGCATAACGAGCTTAACTGGTGTATTTGCTAAATAGTTTAACAAGCAATAATAAAGCCGACATGCAGGTTGATGGATCGAACAGTAGCAGCTCATCCAAATTCCCCGACCCCACAGAGCGTGAAACGTGTAAGTGCACAGTGGATTTGATTGGGTAGCGCGCCTCGAAGAAGAAACTTTCTCTCTTGGCACGCCGACCGATTTTATTTGTCTCTTCTTTCACTTGTGTAATCCGGATTTGGCCCTCAAGCTCGTTTTCTTTGGTCACCACTTTCCAGGGGACAGTGGGAAAATGCAGTCGGCGCCGGACTCCAAAGATGGGCATAAAGCAGCCAGGGAAGAGGAACTCCTGGATCTAAAGGATCCGGAGGATTACCTGGCGCACTTGCTGAAGGACGGAAGTCAGGAGGGCGACAGCGGGGCGGATCTCGAACTACCTTCATGGTACGATGAGCAGCTGTTCAGGCGGTGAGTTGCTTGACCCATTACTGAATCGGTTTATAATATACCATATATGTACATATACATATATACATGTATCATGTATCATGAACTAGTATGAACAATTGCGATAACGACTATAAAAACTAATGAATAATTACTGTTCATATATGACCTTGGTTTCTGATTTCAATAATTTTTAAGATTACAAAGCAGCTAACAACTGAAATGAGATCTCAATTACTGAAAACATAACTCTTGTTCTAGTTTATATATGTCAACTTAATATTTTCTTAAATTAACTTTGGTTTAATTACAATTAAATAAATTTAATGAGAAAACGTCTTAAAATCCAGATAGACCTTTGAAAATGTACATCGACTTAGAATGTTATTTAATTATACTTGGGGAAACCAGTTCAAAGTATTAATTATTTTGTTAGCTGTTTCTCGATTTAGTTTTTTAATAAAAGATAAAGAACAAAGTGCAGAACGAACTAAAAATGTATATATTTTTCCAACTTTCAACTCAACTTTCTTGAGTTGCTATTTACAATTATTATATAATCTTATTTATATATAGGAATATTTTTTATGTGAATAAGGAATGCGATCTTGAATTAAGTATTATTATCGCCATTGTGTGTACAAGTAATTAACTTGTAATTAACTTCTCACTTTACCCCGCAGTGGTCAGAGCTATTTCAGCAAATATCGCTTCGTGATGAATGCCGGAATGCTGGCAGGTCTGATTGCAGTGCTGGCTGTTCCCTCAATTCTCCGAGTGCTCTCTTGCACCCGTCAATCCTCGACAGCGTTCACTGCTTACCGTCGTTATGTGCGCACTATTTTCCACACGCAAGCATGGTACAACCATAATATTGCGGACCGCTCGAGCAGGTTTTGGACCAGCATTGCGGCTGTCCGACAGGCTCACAGCCGCTCCAGTCACGCATGTGCCCGCAGAGGAGCTGGACAGATCACCCAGAAGGATTTGGCCCTGACCCAGTTCGGATTCATTGGCTTCATAACGATGGGGGCACATCGCATACAGCTGAACGACCAAGATTTCCTAGAGGCCACCACGCATATGTGGCGTGTGCTGGGTCATCTGCTGGGGATCAAGGATGAGTACAACATCTGCGGCAGGAACTGGGCGGAGTCCAAGCTTCGATTAGACATTGTCATGCGAAAGGTTTACGAACCAGCTTTGGGAAACACCAGCGATGATTTCTACCGGATGACGGAGGCCCTGATTAACGGGCTTTGGCACATGAACACTATGTTCTCAGTGGACGCTAACATATTCTTCACCAAGCGATTGGCCTGCGTCAAGGGCTACGAGTACTATAGCTTCGATCATGAAAATGGAGTGAAACAAGATCCCAAGCAGAAACTGCACTATTACGACATGGGATGGTGGGATCGATTCATCGTCAGCTACGGCCTGTTCCTGGTCACCTATCTGCACAGGTATGCCCTGGTGCGATGGTACTTGAACTTCCGTGTCTGGTTGGTGGATGTGCTGACCTATTACTTGCCCTACATGGCCATTTTGAAGTTTGGCTTCAAGTCCGCTTACGTGCGGATATTCCGAAACGGAGGCGAGGCCCAAGACTTCACATTGGGCTTTAAATATGATTAGACCAATATAATCTCTAAGATGCGTAACGCCCATACATTGGTTTTGCCAAAGACCAATATAATCCATATAATTATATTGGTCTTTGATTAGATTGTGTTGTTTTGTGAGATTATCAATTATTATGCAATGTAATTGTGGTAATAAGGATCATGGAAAATGGTATTTTGGAGATCTCTAGGGTAATTAGTTGTGAATCACCAGCTTAATATTTCAGGTATTCCTACAAGAATCAATCGTTTATTTCGCTGAGTGTCTAACAATAAATTTGTTTTAAATTGATGGAAACGAAATGTCTTTTTATTGTAGCTAAGATTATAAAATGGAAACAATAAAACTTTAACTAATTGAATGAAATATTTAAATAGCATACTGTTAACTTCATTCAAATGTTCCGCCCTAACTACATCATTACTAACATTGGCGGTAAATTTTTCCTTAAAATTGGTTTAATTTGCTTCCGAAGTACGGTCACACTGTCAGCAGCGTCTTTTAAGCGGTTCCGGCTGTTTATTCTAGTTAATTACCAAAAAAAAAAACATAATTAACAATGTTTTACCACGTAAGTCTCGTTATTCCGGGATCCAACAAATACGCTCTAATCTGTATCCGCCTCAGATATCGCTGGAACATGAGATCCTGTTGCATCCACGCTACTTTGGTCCACAACTGCTGGAAACCGTGAAGCAGAAACTCTACTCCGAGGTGGAGGGCACCTGCACCGGAAAGTACGGATTCGTGATAGCCGTAACGACGATAGACCAGATCGGTTCCGGTGTCATTCAGCCGGGCCAGGGGTTTGTGGTCTACCCAGTGAAGTACAAAGCCATCGTCTTTCGTCCGTTTAAGGGCGAAGTGCTAGACGCGGTTGTCAAGCAGATTAACAAAGTGGGAATGTTTGCAGAGATCGGTCCGCTTTCCTGCTTTATTTCTCATCATGTGGGTGAAATGACATATTTAAAGTCTCGAAATGATGTACTACCAAGTGTTTACTATTCCAGTCTATTCCCGCCGATATGCAATTCTGTCCAAATGGGAATCCGCCATGCTACAAGAGCAAAGATGAGGACGTGGTCATATCCGGAGAGGACAAAATACGGCTCAAGATCGTGGGAACACGAGTGGACGCAACGGGGATCGTAAGTTTTATTGTAAATACGGTCTTTTTCGCATTCTAATTTCCATTTCTCATAGTTTGCCATTGGCACGTTAATGGATGACTATCTGGGTCTGGTGTGCAACTAGAAACGTTTGTACAGTTTAAATATATATATTAAACTTTAATGAAATGCATTTAGACAGTTAAACATCTATGTGTATATAGTAATAAATATGTATGTACTTTATAAGATTTGATTTCAATTTAAAGGTACGTTACATTTGTAATTTAGTAGAGTGGTGTGTGGTCTAGGATTTATAATAATGGATGGACGATAAGTAAACAAACGGCTCGAGCTATACATAGGGCGAATTAAAAGTCATAGTTACAGCTAAAGATCGTTATGATAAAGCACTTAAGTTAGGCGTACGACAACAAAGAAGTACTTAAAAAGCGATTGATTCAAACGATTGCGATTGCACATGGAAATGATTGAAACGAGGCGAATGAGATATTGGATAAGCTGCCGATTGCAAACGAATGTGGAATTCTATACAAAGGAGGAACGGGCCTCACAGATCCCACGAAAAGAGGTGGTGCTTCACCAGCATGTCCCTCACTCCGTCCTTAAGTGGCTGAGACTCTTTGCCGCGCTTTGGGGGCAGCTCCCAGTCGGGATTCAGGTTGAAGGCGAACTGCGACAGTATGCGCAGCTCGCACTTGATCTGTACCCAGCCGGGTGAGTCGATAAAACTCCACGAATGGTACCACTTTTGTACGACCTCCTGGCAGGCGCACAGCACTTCCAGCCACAGATGCAGCACTTGCTCATTTAGACCCAGGCAGATGAGGGAGCGCAGCTTTACGTCCATCTGGGCATGGGCATCGTCATGCGTCTGATTGATGGCCTGGACGCAGCGGTAAAGCAGTTCCTCGGGCGTAAGCACCTTGCCATCCTCATCAAGGCGATACGTTTTGCAAAGCACCAGGCGGCTGTACACCGACTCGAAGTCCTTCTCCACCTCCCGTGTGGCCGCCTCTTCAATGTACAGCCATGGGTGGATTGGTCCGCCCAGGAACGTGGGCCTCTTCATGCCGTGCTCCAGAAAGGCCTTGATGGCCGGCGCCAAAGTGCCACGCACTAGGTCCGTCACCGTCTCCGAGATGGCATCGTCCCCCGCCGAGGTGTACAGCTTGCTCCGCTCGTCCAACAGCTCCACGAACTTGGCCGGAAACCAGCCGCGCAGGCCGTTGAGTTCACCCACCCAGCAGTGTTCGTCTTTCTGGCTGATGATCGTGATAATGTCATTACGCCGAAAGCCCAACTCATCGTCGTCGTGCCGCTCGAAATCGTGCAAGGCTTTGGCCCGACGCTTCCGTGTTCTGGCTACGTTGATAAAGTTCTCATGGTCCTTGGCATGCGACTCGGTGCTGTAGTTGGCAGTCAGCTGTATGTGGCCGGAAAGCTTTGGCTCAATGGTTATGAAGTGGCGACCCACTTTAAGTATAGCTTCCCTTAGGTCCACCAAGATTTCGGTTTGGCGAATGTTCTTGTTCTTCAACTGATCCCCTTCGCTGGCGTCGCCGCGAAAGAGAAAGGCCTCCAAGATAGACTTGCTCTTGCGTACCTGTCGTCGGGCTAGTTGCTGCTTAGGAAGATTGGGTGCAGCCTCCGGGTTACCTATCTGGTGGCCTTGATCCGCCATAAGGTACGCCAGGTGCCGACGACGATGGGTGTCGATTACCGTCTGGCTAAGGGATCCGCCCACCTCCAGGGCTTGGCGGAAGAGCACTTCGACGTCGGTGACCTCGCCAGGAATGTCCGAAAGTGAGTTGAAGATCTGAGCGGAGTTTTCGAGGTGCTTTAAATCCTGTTCCTTCACTTTGAGCATGCCCAGCGTCAGTTGAAAGAGCACAATGGATCCCTCGTAGAAGAACCAGTCCCAGATTCGCACCAGAATCTTCATATGCACCACGTTAGCAAACAGGGTAAGGAACCAGTGTAGCGTAATCAGCGACAACTCGATGTCGTGCTTCCGCAACGACTCGTCCACACTGCTCAGGTAATTGGCTATGAGCGTTTGCATCACGCGCTGATCCGCCTGTATGCCTAGCAGCGTGGAACTGTAGTAGGAGGCTGGCAGGAGGTCCTCTACAATGGTGGCCATCATCCAAAAGGCATTCTCCTCCTCCATGAAGAGCAGCAGGCAGGCCACGATCACGCCAGTGCCTTGGCAATAGCCAATATCCGGAAAGAGCCACGCGATGCCCCTCAGGATGCGGCGTAGGCGGGGTATGCCCGTTCCGTTCGGATTGCTGAAGCAGGCATTTGTGGGCAGAATACGAAGTAGGTCCTTTTCGATTTGCTTTGAAGTCATTAACTGGTCATTGCTAGAGGCTAGCAAAAGATTATAGAATTAAAAATTAATATTTGTAAAGGTTCCTTTTTAATGTCGAATCCTACCCTTGACTATATCATGATAGCTGGTCTCGCTCTTCTGCTTTTTGGCCATCGCACCAGACAGGCGCATCCACATCTGGGCTCGGAGGGTGTGGGGGATACCCTGGCGGACCATGTTGCGCAGTTTTTCGGTGCGTGGGAGCAAAACATCCACATGCTCCCAACTCAACTCTGTGGCTTCCTTGTTGTGCGAGAATTCCAGGTGCGCGATCCACTGCAGCCGCTGCTGGTCGTCTTCCACGAACGGGATGCTGAGCAGTTTGTTTGAGCTTTGCTCCGGTCCGTCCTCCTCCTCTACCCGGAAGCCGAACTCATCGAAGCGGTACTCTGGCTGGTCGTTTGGACCCGAGGCCAGCTCTGCGCCACCGCCCAGTTTGGCTAGTATTTCTTGGGGCCACATTGAGGCAGTTAGGGCCGAGAAGGGTCCCCCCGGATTTGGCCGCAGTCCATCCACAACACTTAGTGCCTCCATCATGGGCGGCAGCTCACCAAGATCGTCTTCCGAGCCCAAGTTCTGCAGTTTGCGCTGTTGGCAGTGGGAAGGTGGAACGATAAATATTAATTACCATGATAAGCAATCTTTTCTGGTCAATTTGCGCTTACCGTATGCTCTTCACGGCCCACGTAACCCTCATGATCGCGGCCAAAGATGCTCCTGGCCATGTCCATGCTGGGATTGCCTAGTTTCCTGCCGTGTCCTGGTCGAGCATTCAGCCAAAGTGTATCGCAAGTGTCTTTTGTTGGTGTGTTAAGCCTAATTTTAATTTTCGCCCTGCATTGTTTCCAATTGGCTACCAAAGTTTCACTGTCAGCTGTTCGATAGGCGATAGTAGGTGGTATCGATTTTTAGCCATGCTGACAAAGGCTGGGAAAATGGGATCATGGGTGTTGTAAGTCCCATAAATAAAAATTAAATAAAATAAATTACTTAAATAATTAACTTAAAATAAAGTATGTCTCTTTAAGCAGAATAATAATTTCTAGTTTACCCCATTAGGTCCCCATGGCTACGTCCATGACTAGGGATGCTCAAAGAACACCTGTTGAATACCCAGAAATGGGTATAAATTTAAATATTGGTTTACCTCATTTTATTTAATTGTGTTATTTGGTTTTAGCTTTTAATAAGAATTTAAATAAGTTAACCATTGGCCAGCCGATAACTGATAACAGAAACAGAAAGGCACAATCGATTCCCACGCCCTCGCTGTACTGCAAAATCAGCTGTTTTGGCCCAGAAAGTTGGGTGGCTTTCGATAATCCAATGAAATAAACAAAAATACGACAAAAACAATGCAGATAAAACCCATTATTACATGTGAGTTGCAAACAATATTAAAAAGCATGCACTTTTAATGATTTTTCTTACAGATTCCGGCTCGGGCCCGCTGTTTCGTTCGCTGGAGTCGCAAATCCTAAATGCAATCCCTTTGGACACTTGCGAGTGGAGACGCACTTTCCAACGCCCCACGAAACATGTTCGCCTGGAAGCCCAGACCCAGCAGTTTAATGTGTCTGCCCTGGAGAAGTACAAAACAGGTGACTGGAGCATTTTGGAGCATCCAATACTGCACATCTTTGTCACGGAATGCAATGTGAGTTTGACAAACGTAAAGAAACCATAAACTCACCTCCACTAAATTTCATTCAAGGACGTTGACACGTATAAGGCCACCATCAGAGAGGAGATTGATACTTGGCTTAAATTATTGACTAGCTACGGCATCTCGGACTGGATGATTCTGCTGGTGGAGACACTGGACATGAGGAAGACCAAGAACTTTATGCCACGCACAACGGTGCTGGACAAGATACGTCTGGACTTCAGCACCAAGAACGACGATCGCTGCATCTCCGTCCTGAACCCAGCCAAGTTTGAGCAGAAGTCCACCGAGTCCTTCCGCTGCCTGGTTCAGCGCATCCGGTTCCTAATGCTCACCAGTTACAATCGCAACATTGTCAAGTACGAAGAACTCATACGAAGCAAGCGGGAAAAAAGGAATTTAGATGGCTGGGACTTTCGCCAGTATTTCTTCATGCAGGAGGATTTGGCGCTGATCTTTGAAAAATTGGAACTCCCCACCGAGGCGCTGATACAGTACGACGAACTTGACGCTATGTTCTCACAGTTCATAACGCACACTGGCCTCAACGATAAGCAGCAGTGGCTAAACCATTTTCGGCGGCCCTTGGACGCATTCCATGGCATTTGCTTAACCCGGCCGGACCGGTTCGAAATGCGCAACAAGATCCGTGACGAGAGCGTCTCCCTGTTGGAGTTCCGGAATTACCTGTTTGAAAGACAGGCCTATCTGCTACTAAGCTGCAACGACATTCCAGAGATCGCAAAAAGGCTTCTTAACTTCCTCTTCTCCACACTACGCGAGGTGGAATTCATTAAGCTGGAGTGCCAGGAGGGCGCTCTTTGCTGCTGGGAGTTCGTTTGCGCCCTGGAGGTTCTACAGCTGTGCGAACAGGCCATGGAGCCGAATGAGGTTACCTGTTTCCAGCATTGTGCTCCCATTTGGAACTTGGCCAAAGACAAACTCTATGAGCTGGGCAAGCTGTGCGGACTTTTGCCCGGCAGTACGCCCACTTCAGAGCAGCTTCACATAGTGGTGCAGCTGTCGTCGGGTATAGGAGATGCCCCGCCGGAGCAGCGGCAGTTCCTGCAGGCGACACCTCAGCTCCGGGAACGTTCTCCCAATCGCAAACCAAAAAAATCAGCGGCCGAGCAGCTAAAGGAGGCATTGGGCTCTAATCAGGCCTTCCAGAAGCTTTACTTGGAGCTGGCAGAGTTGGCCATCAGTACTTACAAACATGTAGCCCGTTTGCGGTCAGCTCGTTTAGTGGGCTTGGATCTGGGAAACTTCTATTGTGCCCTAAATGAACCGCATAAGGCAGTTGGATTCTTCACGGATCTTCTCAGGGAACTGAAGGCCGAAAACTGGCATATGTTGAGCTCCCAGACGCTGCTTGAGCTGGCCAACTGCTACCGCAAGATGGGCGACTCGCTGGCCTATACCAAGACTTGCAGCTCTATATCGTGTTGTGCCGAACTGGAGACTTTGGTACGAACTTTCTATTTTGACGAGTTCCTTAAATCCCTAAAAACCTTGAGGACAACTCTATCGGCTCAGCCGTCCATGGAGAATGCAAACTTCTGTGTGCTAGAAGATCACTTTCGCGTCCTGGACATTGAGGTTGTTAATCAGAAACCTATTATACAAGATGATTACATCCTAGTGCAGCTGAAAGTGGAAAGCCTCTACCCGCGTGGGATAGTGGCTGAAAATATTAAGCTTTGCTATGAGCTACAAGCGGCCCCTTTGGAGCTAGCCATGGAAAACGTCTCTCTGACTTCCGCTCCGTCGGCAGTGAAGGTCAAAGAGTCAAAGAGTCGCCTGAATGTGTCCCTGCAACTTGTCTACAAACAGGACAATCGTTTGCACTCTGCGGCGGTGTCCTGCGACATGCCCAAGAGCAAGCAACCTGTGCGTCGCACCAGCAGCACCAAGCGGAAGCTTTCGCCCAGTGTCCAGGCGGACTTCACCAACTTTGTCCAGGCGGAGAACATTGCCCTTCAACCAGGCGTCAATTTGGTGGACCTCAAGGCAAAGGCCACGCGAGTGGGCAGCTGGCAGTTCAAACAGGCAGGTGGTACTTCTGGTTATTTGTGATCCATTTTTTAAAATATCATTTGTGTGTCTCCTTCAGCTCTGCGTCAGCATGTCCAGCCTGGAGTTCTTGTCCGAACAGTTGCCGTTTACTCCTCCCAGCTTTGAGATTAGCACCAAGCCGGCCAGCGCCACGTTGGAGTTCAAAACTCTTATAGCTGGTATAGTACAGCCTATTACCTTGAATGTTTCCGGCGGAAGTTTCATCTTTCCGCCCGACGCCAAAATCACACTGCGTTGCTCCAAGAACCTACGCATACGCCAGGCACTGAGCATAGATGATGAAGCAGCATATAATAATGACGCATCCTTTGAAAGTCTGCTGCAGGTACCGCTGTTGCACTTCAAATCGTTTGAGGAACGCAAAATACCTCTGGAGGTTCTGACGGATATGCCGGGTCGGAAGGTGTCTAAACACCATGAGCACCACATTGCCCTAACATGCCCCTGGTCCCGCACTGAGCTGCCAATATCCGTCGAGTTTCAACCAGGCATGGAGGCCACTTGCCGGCTTCACACGTGCGGTACCCAAAAGTTTTTACAGGTGATCATGAAGGGTCTAGACGCAGATCTCCTTTTGCAACATGCTCAGGTCAAGTGCGATGTACCCGGTGTTCAATTGCTTGACCTGAATCCCGAGCCTCATCAGCCCATTGTAAGTCGAGTGCGATGTAGTCTGATGCCTTCTAATGTTCCCATTCGTAATTTGAAGGAAATCTACAAATCCCTAACGGTCACGTATCTATATGAAATCCAAGTCGAGCCCCTCAAAACGGAGCACGAGCTGCCCGTCGTCAAAGTACACTTTGTAATAAAATACGCTCCACTATCGCAACCGGATGTGTGGAGAACCTATGGATGCGCCTTTGATCTGGTGGACTACACAACGCTCTTCAAGCTGCAGGCGCAGCTGGAACCCAATGAGTTATGCCGCCTGCGCACCGTGTGCAACCTGAACCTGAAGATAACCAAGATCCATGAGAATCCCTACACGGATCTGATGTACGAAGTACTCAATGATCAGAATTTGTGGGCAGTCTGCGGTCGCTCAGCGGGTGAGTTGAAGTCTTTTTTGTTTTCCGTCGGTCTTTGCTTATGATTTAATTCTGATTTTTCTACACACGATTCACTTTTGCAATTTAAGAAATGGGTAAGTTCTGGAATAGGAGACACGTAGCACTAACTAGATTTTCCCTTGCTTTTAATTGGAAACATTTAACAATATTAAAAATTTGCTTTACTTTTATCTTCTAATTTGTTGTAATTGGTTGCCTAACTATTTTCTACTGATGCTTCCAGGTGTGGTTTCCATGAAGGACGTGGACAGTCATTCTATATCCCTGGATGTGATGCCATTGAGTACCGGCTTCCTGCCGATGCCCAGCATTCGACTGTCGAAGTACACAGCCGGCGGCAAGAGCAAGACCGATGCCCACTCCAAGGTGCATCCCTTTCCGCCCGGACAAGTCTACAACTCCACAAAGAGCATGCAGATCCATGTTATAGCAAGTGTGGCCGGAGATCAGTGAGAAGCCAAATTGAATATAAAGTAATTGCAATGTACTCGTAGCATATACATAAGGCCCACGGTCAAGTATTATTAATTATTTATCTTTCTAATATAAAGAAGTGAAAATAGAAAATACCATCAAGATTTGTAAGCAGCCAGATCCTTAGCCAATTTTGTCAGCTGCTGTCCTTCAACGCGGTAGTAGTGCCAGCCTTCTTTGGCTGTCAAATCCACGGCTCCAAGGCGTTCGTAGAATTGGCGGGCTGGGTTCCACTCTAGAACATTGAATTCCAGGCGCGGGCATTGGAGCTCTACTGCTCGGGCGGAGACCTCCAGAAAGATTCGCTTTCCGGCACCACGCTTTCGGTGCTCTGGGCGCACATAGATGTCCTCGACGAAGAAGTAGCGACCCTGCCAAGTAGAGTAAGCCTTGTAGCAAATAGAGTAGCCAATTGTCTGGCTGATAATGTAAATAAACCAATATAAAAAGATTATTAATTCCTTCTCCCGTTATAAAATATTTGTTCTACTCACTTAGTAAAGTTGTCTATTAGTACATAAACTTCACAATATTCTTGACCCCCAGTTAGTCCTGCATCCCTTTTAAGATCTGTATATAGATATCATAAAATTTAATGGATTACATACTTTCTTTAAAAAGGAGTTTCTTACCCTCCTCGGTAAGCTGCGGACCACCGCTCATTTTCTCAAAGTCGGCCAGTTCCTAAATCAATTAAAAACTCGTTTTTATATTTCGAAAAATTGGGAATGTTAATTATCTCAACTTGAATCATGGATAGCACATCTTTTATATCATCAACTTTAGCACGCCGAAATGTGAGCTCCTCGGATTTCGACATTGTTTCGATCTATGTATGTATGTTGTGTTGTACAGATTATGATCGAATAAGCTTATCTTTTCGACAAACACCTCTAATAAATAGAGATGCGCGATAATTCTGTGAATATATTCCTGATTACTTAAAATTTAAATAGAATCTAAAACTTATATTGGTTATAGGTAAAGAACAAACAAATATGCTTGTAGAAAGTTATAAATATTTAAGTGGGTTACATAGAAATAAGAAAATTTGTTAGCTTCAACACTCCAATTTGACATATTTTAAAAGAAATATTAGAAACAAGTTTTTCCTTGCAAGTACCACTTACTAAAAACCGATACCTTACATTAATTTTAATTATTTTTGAAACATAAATACTTAAGACAATCCCGCCAATAGCTGTTAGGGTGTGACCAGACTGCATTTGCCTAGTTATTATAATAGTTTGGTATTTACTGTGAACCCAATTGCGGTCGTACCGCATGTTTTTTAATTTTTGTTGCTTTAAAATCTGGAGAAGCGTTTGCGTTGCGAAATGGATGTGGATAAGATCTGCCTGACCTGCCTAGGCTCGACGGGACCCTTTCTGTCCATTTACGACGGGGGATCGGGCAGCTGCCTGGCAGACATGATCAGGGATTTCACTAAAACCAAGGTGAGTGGCCCATTAATACTCCGGAATTCCATGTTAATCTGGGTAAACGCTCTGCTTTTAAGCCTCGCCGCCAAGATAATCTTCCCGAGAAAGTGTGCATAAGTTGCTTGGGTGAAGTCAATCGATGCTACACCTTCAAGATCAAGTGTGAGAACTCCAGCCGCACCCTGCGCCAATTGCTACCGAATGCCTTGCCCGAGGAGCCCGAAAACAAGGTGCCCATAAGTTGTCCAGTGGTCACGGCGGACCAGGCTGTGCAGACCATTAGCTGGGAACCCAGCAGATGCACAGCTAGCGTGCAAACAGATGCGGTGACCACCACAGATGCTGAACAGAGCACCTGCCTGATCAAGGCAGCGAGTTCAGTGGATCTGGACTACGACGGCGAGGGAGAGGTCTTCGACTACGAGCTGCCGGATGAGCCCGTAGAGAGGACCACCAACCTCATCCTACATGTCCAGGGCAACTTGAAGGACGAAAAGGAAGTGGTATTCACGCAAACCAGTGTCATTTACGAGGGCGATGACAACGAGCTGGAGCAGCAGATAAGGGAGTGTAACCTGGACATTTTCGAAGAAGTCGACAACGAGGCGGAGGTAATCACAGTACCCGCTCCACAGGTTACCACCAGAAAGAGCGCCGCCAAACTCCTGACGCAGCAACAGAATGAGAAGGAGGAGGACCCTGTGGATCCCAAGAAGCAAGATGAGGATGTACAACTTGCTCTGCCGATAAAGAGATCCTCCCGCCGGCGGGCAGTGGTAAAGCATGATGTGCAGGCCACGTCTTCGGCAGAAGCATCTTCGCTCTCCAAGCCGCTTCGGTTGGGAACCAACCGCAAAACTTTAAATGCAGTCGGGGGACCAATTACAGTGGCCGTTAGCACTGCAAGTACAGCAGCAAGTGCAGCCTTGACAACTGAGCTTAAGTACCACTGCGATCACTGCAATGCGGGCTTTGCGCTAGAAAAATCCTTGATGATTCATAGACGCCAAAAAGGCTGCATAAACCGCAACTTTAAGTGCAACGAGTGCGAAAAGGTCTTCGTGTCTCCGGATCACCTGGCTGAGCACCAAGCCAACCATAGCGCACACAACTGCCCGGAGTGTGGGATGCAGTGTGATTCCAAGGAGCAGCTGAGCAAGCATATGGTGCAGGGGCACAAACGGAATCTGCGCAATCAGTGTACGGTCTGTCAGAAAGGTGAGTTGGATGCAAACCTATTTGGTACAAATAATCGACTTCTCACTTTTCAGTATTCACCATGCTATCCACTCTACGTGACCACATGCGCATTCACACCGGCGAGAAACCGTTTGTGTGCAATATCTGCGGGAAGAGCTTCACCCAGAACGCCAACCTTCGCCAGCACAAATTGCGGCACTCGGAGACTAAAAGCTTCAAGTGCGAATTGTGTCCGCACTCGTTCGTGACCAAGGCGGAGCTTGCCTCTCACGCCCGCACCCACACCGGCGACAAGCCCTTTGAGTGCGAAGTGTGCTTGGCCAGGTTTACCACCAGTTGTTCCCTAGCCAAGCACAAAAGGAAGCACACTGGCGAGCGGCCATACGCCTGCGATCTGTGCCCCATGAGGTTCACCGCTTTAAATGTACTAAAGAACCACCGCAGGACGCACACGGGTGAACGGCCGTACGTCTGCCCCTTCTGCGCGAAGACCTTCACGCAACGGGGCGACTGCCAGATGCATCAGCGCACCCACCAGGGCGATCGAATTTACATTTGTCCGGTGTGCAGTGAGGAGTTCAAGTCGATGCCCGATATGAGATCTCATTTGGCCGGCCACGAGCAGCACGACAAGCGCTTAGTGCACTTCACATTTCTCAGCAACAAGGAAAACGGTAGCGGAGCCCTCAAGGAAGATCTCAATGAGATTACTGAGTCTGCGATGATGCTTTAAGTTATGTTTGGAAGTGTACAAAGTCGGTCGTTATTTACGCCGATTTGCACAAATGATTATATTCTAGGTCCATTTACTTTCCCTATGTCTGAATTGCCTTTCAAACAAGACAGCACCTGAAAAATGATTACCCTTTCAGATTAGCAAGACTCATCTACTTTACATTTCCGTCTACTTTTCCCCTTGGGAACACTGTTTATGACAAAATTCACAACTTTAGAACATCTTTAGTCTTAACTTAGTCGCTAGGTCGTAGATAAAAATAAAAGCTTAAGTGGTACATTGCATCATCGTCACATTGCTAGTAGAACTGGGCGTACTGCCCCGCCGTCTGCATGGCCGCCGACGTGGAGGCGATGACGGCGACTGAAGCTGCGACGGAGGACTCGGGCAGGAGCAGGACGGCGGCGGCAGGCGGACCGCTCGTCACGGGCGGATCGCCCTGGAACCAGTTGACCAGCTCATGGTGCGCACTTTGGACGCACTTGCGCTGGTCCGCTATCAGGTTCTCCGAGTATTTTACGTGATTGGCATAAGCATCCTTCTCGTGCTGGACATCCTTGGACATACGATGCAGGTCCTTGAGTATTGCCGATCCCCACAGCTGGACGTGGATGTCGGGTATCTTGCTGGCCAGTTGCATGGCCGGCGTCACCATGTTCATACTTTCCTTTGAGTTTCCGATGCTGAGGAAGACGTGCGACAGCAGAACCAGCGAACAGCTGGTTAGTCGATTAAGGTCTTCAGCGTTGGCCATCTTTAGGGTTTCGCGAAGGAATCGTCTGTAAGGGAAGAAAATTAGAAGTTTTTACACAGCCTCAATAAATTTTTCCTAAGTTTACTAACTTGGCCTCGTGGAAGCTGTTCTTGTGGAAGGCGTGCAGGCCCTGGACGTAGTAAAATCCTCCCATCAACGCTTGGCTGCTGTACGTGTGAGTGTTCTCCGTGGACACTGCGTCCAGAATCTGCTTGAGATCCGAGTCCCGCTTAGTGCGCAGGTAGATGATTGCCAGGTTGAGGTTGGCGAAAAGCTTCAGGTCCCGCTCGGTGGTCTCGCTCACGCACACAACAAACTGCCGCTCAGCGTGCTCGAAAAAACTGGTGGACATAGAGTAAAGGCCGATGAGGCAGTGCAGCTGTGCCGAGTGGCGCCGAAGAAGGCTGCGTTGCGGAGCAGCCAGGCAAACATCTCTCGCTGCGGCTATTTCTCGGATGGCTAGTTCCCGGTTGCCCATTACCATACGACACATCACAATATGCTCGAGCAGGATCACTTTAAAAACGGAGAGAATAGGCTTGTCCTCCTGCTGCTTGAGCTTCTCGATCTGGGTGAGTGCTTTTTCCGTATACTTCTGTGCCTTGTCCATATAACCTGCCATCATGGAGTGCGAAACGGTCACCAGGTAAACCAGGACATAAAGCTGCTCTTTGGGCAGCCACACGAACATCTCCAGCTGATTGGCTCCGAAAATAGCTTCGTCCGAGGGCCAATTGGGCGCCATTATCGTCTGTATGGACATCTGCAGTTGTTTAAGACTGGGCTTCACCGTCTTCACCTGCCCTAGGGCCAGATAGTAACACACCTGCAGCACCAGGAAGAACACTTTCAGGTACTCCTTCTGGTGCGGATTGGGTATGTTATTGTCGATTATCTGGCCGGCGGAGTTGAGCAAGGCGAGCACATCGTTCGTCTTGCGTTCGATCATAAGAATCATGGCGCGGGAGAGCAGAAACAGCACTTTCAGGTACGTGGCGCTCGCCTCGTCGGCACTTTCTGCGCCCACAGCCAACAGTTCGGAGGCCGCTGAGTACTCGCGATCGCTGGCATGGATTTGGGCTAGTTGGAGCAGGAGCTTACAGTGCCAGTAGACGTTGTGCTGCGACAGTTCTACGGCGCGCCTCAACATCACCTTAGCCTGGTGAGAGTTCATGTCCGTCTGCAAATGCAACTGGGCCAGCAACGAAGCGGTGTCGAACTTCACGTCAAAGTTGGCCAGCGGTTCGGATATGCTCCACGCCTTTTCCAGGTGATTGCGCGCCAGATCAATGTTCTTGGTGTAGGCCATCAGGATCTGGCCCATTTGCAAGTGGGTGCGCGCCTCGACCTTCGAAGGCGGCATAAATGTGAAGAGAGCTTGCAAGCATTGGATGCATTTCTTGATGTTCGGAGGCTGCGAGGTGCGGAAGTACTCTGCCAGACCCAACAGCGATATGTAACAGGCGTCCTGGGACGCCGTCGCCGACGTGCTCGTCGATGCGCTCATTTCGGACAGCAATTGCGGTTTGTTTATCGCGTAATTTTGTTGTCAATTTGCAACTGTGCTGTGGCGGTGGTGGCTGCCAGTGTTGGTCAGTGCTGGTGCTAGTGGTGGCACAAGCGTTTGCGACTATCGCTCCGTGGACACGGTGGGAGTCACGGTTTCCGCAAAATGATTAAGTAGTGAAATGTAATGGATCGCTTTAATTTATATCTGCTATTATTAAATCTATTTAATTCGAGGATAAACATTGAATGTGTAAATTGTAAATAATAACCAAATAATAATATAAAGTACATCCCACTTTTTGAATTGCTTTTAGTTTTAGAGTATTCTCAAATATTATATGCCGTTTCCTTAATTTAGTTTCATAAAATTTTATGTTTTTTTAGTTACGACACTGGTAGGCTAATCTAACTTTGAAGAGTTTTTTAAATATAACATTTAAAGGATATCGTGGTTTATCTTAACTGACTAGAGAAATTTGATTTCTGACACTGACTCATAGACTGTAAATCTTGTAAGTGGCCTTTTTCTTTTATACTACCTGTGTGGACTACAAAGTGTAAAGGTGAATTAAATTTCACGAAGACCACTTTTAAAAAAGCCTTCGTTTTGCGTATAAAAAAAAATTTGGTGGAGCAGCACCAACTTTTACTTGTTTGACAGCAATTTCCAAAAATGTTCTAAAAAATTTACAATACGCAATAAAATATGAAAATATCCTTTTAAATCTACTTTCAGTTGTCATTATGCTCAGGCAATAACTAGTATAAAAATTCACTAGAACTTAAAAAAAAAAACAATTTTCAAATATTACAAAAAATTATTTTATTTGTCCGTACATGTAAATTAATAAATTAGTTTCAGTCGTAATAATGCTCAGGCATTAACTATTATAAGAATTTACTGGAACTATAAAAAAAAACAATTTTCAAATATTGCAAAAAAAATTTTAATTTGTCCATACCCTTCTAGTTTTGTACACGAAAATTAAGTTCGAAGCGCGTCGGTCGGACACTTCAAATCAAGCTCTGCTGAAAATGAAATCAAGGAAATAGGGTAACAAAAAATTTATTTGGTCGATTATTACCTATACCTTTACCTTGTACATAGTAAAATAGTAATTCTTGATAAAGAAATAATTCTATTTAATAAAGAAATTTGTCCTCATAAATTTAATGTAGGAGGATCAGTTATATTAGCAGAGAAGCTATATTAGCAGATCTAAAATAGCCCGACTTAATTTTATGAGCTTTAGTTTTCTATATCAGTGTTGTTAAATGGTGTGACCGTAAAGTATTCGAGGATCAGCTGGGCCAACCGCTTCATAGCCGTTATTGGCCGTTTATTTGCCGCATTATTTAGTTGAAGATTGTAAGTGCAGTTGACCAGACGTCTAATATTTCTGTATTAATATAATTTCTGTGCCCGACTTGAATAAGGTAATTAACAAGAATTTTTTCTATCTTTGTCTTTATTTTCTCAGAGCTTTTTACTATCATTCAATTCAATATAAAAAAAAAAAACAATACCAAGAACAAAGTTTCTACTATGTACATACAAATGTTCATGGAACATATTCTTATCAATATAATATAAAATACATTTAATATATGTATACATTTTTGAAACCCAGCGAGATTAATTATAAAGCATATATGTATTTACATTGAATTAATGCAAAATTATCAAAAATATTTTTCTCCATTTTACCATATTTTTTTAACATCCTCGTGAAAACTCTTGTATGCTATTGTCCGTTAAATACTATTTTTCTTGATTTTGTAAGAATTACGTATAATTCAAAATAAAAGTAAAATTGCATCTTTATCTCTGTTGATCCCTAGGTTATCAAAAAGGAAACAAGAATTTATATTAATGGATTCTTGGTCTTTCCAAGAAAAACATATAAAGTATATGGGGTCAAAGATTAATTCAATAAAAAAGATTAGCAAGGCTAAAGATTATATAGTTGTAATATAAACCTTTTAAAAGATAAGTGACTTTAAATTTAATATACAAGTTAGAACCAACGAATCATCATTTTAAAATAAATTTAAAAATAGTTTAAGTTAATAAAACTAAAAAAAAGTCCTTTGCTTTGTTTATTTTGATTTAATTATGACAATATGACTTGCCAGTTGATAATGGATTTTTTTGTTAAGTTTGATTGTCATAATTACAATGTTACTTGCTAGTTGATACTCTTTATAGTAGTAGGAATAGTTAGAAGGAGTAGTTTTGATCAGGGACGACTCGATCACGATATGTCCAAGTGTATCTTGTTTATTTTTACATTTTAATTTTTTATTCACTGCTCAAAATTGTTTTTCTGTATATAACTTCTGGTATTAGTTCACTAATTGGAGGGTGTTTTTCATTTAATTTTCAGAAAAGCCCAGAAATGAAAACCTTTAGTTTGCTCCTGCTGGGGTTACTCCCTGTTTTCGTATTAGCCGACATGGACATACCGAATCTCAAAAAACTTAAGAGTCGTTCAAAGATATTCGATGGAGAAAGGATTTTTTCTGTAGAAATGCTTAAACAGATCCGAAGATACCAACCGAGCGGCAACCTGTTCTTCTCCCCGTTCAGCGCCTATAACGCTCTGCTCCTCGCCTATTTCAGTGCGTCCGGAGAGACGGAGTCTCAGCTGAGGAATGCCCTGAATCTTGACTGGGCTTCCGTTAAATCAGAGGTGAATGCCGCATACATATTGGGAAAAGCACAAGACAGGAGTCGATCACGTCGAAATATGGTGGAGCTCAATTCTGCGAACCACATCTTTTTGGACAAAAAGGTGAGCCTGCAGAGCCAATTCAAAACACTCCTACAAAGTGAAATCGACCAAATCGACTTCGAGAACGAACCGGAGAAGTCACTCCAGCAAATCAACGGGTGGATCGCAGAGCAGACGAAAAACCAGATCCTCGACATGCTAAGCTCCGAGGAAATCACCACAAACACCAAGTTGGTCCTGGCCAACGCTGCCTACATGAAGGGTCAGTGGCTAAGCCAGTTCGATGTGAAGATGACCTCTTTACAGCCCTTCTTTATAACCCCCTACCAACCTGTGACGGTTTCCATGATGCAACAGAAGGGCACCTTCAAGATAAATATGGACGAAAATTTGCAAGTCCAAATCCTCCAGGTGCCATTCCGCACATTATACGAGTCGGAGGAGACGCCAAACTCCACTCCTGATGATAAGTCCGAAATTTCCATGGTGCTCATCTTGCCGAGCTCCAACCAAGTCTCCATTAATGATGTTGTTAACCGTCTGGAATCCAACGATTTGATTAATTTGATTGAGAAGTCCATGGCGCGCGAGGTCGTTTTGTCGATGCCCAAGTTTCAGTTCGAGCAGCGTACAAAACTCACTCCGGTAAGTATATTTAGGTTGCTTACCATTTCAAAACCATATTGTCGGTCTGGATGTTTAAGTTATATCTAAATTTATTGCTTGTATCTTTTTTAGATCCTTGGAAATATGGGCATTACGAAGCTTTTCGGCAATGCTGCCAACTTGAATGATCTAACATCCGATTACGTTTACTTCGATGATGCCCAACACGTGGCCAAGATCAAGGTGGACGAGAGGGGAAGCACCGCGGCGGCGGCCACCATCCTGTTTAGCAGCCGATCGGCTAGGCCCGCCGATCCCACCCAGTTCAATTGCGACCATCCGTTCCTGTTCATCATCTATGATCGCAAAGTCAGTACGATCCTTTTTGCGGGAATCTATAGTGACCCAACAACAATGAAGTGAATCCGTTTACTTCTCGTCTTCAGCAAATTTTTATAACAACTAAACATTTTGTAATACATTTGTAAAATTTTTTCGGTAATATAAATTTGATTACATAACAAAAAATTTATTTTCTTTGGTTAATTTTTACATAAATAAGAAAGGCAGCTATTTTTTTATATTATTAATGTATATATATATATATTTAATTTTTTTCGATTTTCCGAAACATCTTTCGACCAATAAAATCGTTCGGTTTTTAATTCTGAAATTGTATAGTATATCCGTTCATAATTAAAAACAACGAAGTAAAAATTTTTTTAATTAAATTTTTCAATTTTTTCAAGCTCACATAGAAATGATATAGACATCCCCTTTCCCTTGCTACCTGCAATAGAATAAAGACTTTTGGGAAAATTTCATCAAGATAGCTTTAAAACTGAAATTTAGCTTGCGTAGAAACAAACAGACAGACGGACTTGGCTAGATTAACTATCCTGTTGATGTTAATCAAGACTATATATTTATAGGGCCGAAATGTCTCCCTAATTGCATCGCCAAACTTTTTTGTCAAAAACAAAATTGAAAAATTGACAATCAAAACGCTGGCTGAAGAGCAAAAGTTTTTTATTTGCTTAGTATTTGTTCAAAAATAAATAAAGTACATAGTCATTTCCAGAACTTCTTACCTATTAAAGACATTTTTTGAGCCGATTAATACACCTGCTGGACCACCCCATTTTTCCATTTCGTGGGGTGACTTTTCAAAGAGGAACGATCAAAAGTACTTAACTATGCCCACACAAGAAGTCACTATTTTGAGTCGATTAACACACCTGCTGAACCAACCCATTTTTCCAATTTCGGGGTGACCGTTCAAAGAGTTATGATCACCTGTTAGATACCGATTACTTTACACTTACTGTGTATCGATATAAAAAGCTGCGCTTGGCGGAACTAAGTCCCCTGCTTCTCTTGTCGAACGATTCAGTTGATAGTTTTAGCTGCAGGTGGACAGACTTGCATTCGGTTTTAGTTATTGTTCGATTTCGGTGCTACTCAAAGCCTACATTTAAAGAAGGTATTTCCCACCATTTATTCAGTGACTGTTAAGTGTTTGTCCCAATTTGTTCAACTCCCCCGGAGCTTATGACTATCAATATCGAATCGGTTTGATATTAGAGCGTCGCCTATTTCTGTAATACTAATCACCATATCGGTGTGTACATGCAAACGATTTCGTATATGTGCACATTTTATACGTATGTGGATTTGTATATTTGACTCACGCAATTTAAATGAAGCAATCAATTGCGCTATTTGATTTTGTCAATTATATTATATATATAAAAAAATAATAAAGTTCCCTTGAAGTTAGATTCAAATAATCTCATCAGTACGAGTGAATCAATGGTGACCCCCAACCTTGTCTATTAGAATTTAATTTTAAAAATTTTGGGAACATTTTGCTATAAAAGTATGGTTATTTTGTGTTGCTGTCTGTCAAATTTAAAAATTGGGAAAATTTCAAGTTCATTTAGGTTACACAGATAATTTAAATGATTCATTTTATTTGTTATTTTTAATATAAACAAAACCTTATCAAACATAAATACTTTTGAATAAAAATTCCGATTACTCACTTCCACGGAATTTTGATTTAAATTTGTTAAAATTAAATTTTTTAATTAATAGATTTTGAAATGCCTTTCCAGTATAACTTTCAACTACTTAACGTAATGGTTTGTTTTTCAAAGTATTTTTGGCAAACCAATTAATCCAAGTTCAATGCGGCTTAAATTACCCTGACATGTCCGTTTCCTATCAGTTATAACTGGTTGTTCAATATTTTTGGATTCTCCCAAAAGCCGCGCATGTGCAGAAACCAGCGTTACGTCTGTGGGGTACCTTAAAATACGAGTAACAACAACAGAAAGCATTTACAAAATCCCCAATACAGGGTCAACAATGAGCATACATACGCGCTAAAATACGAAACGCCAACGATTTGTACCGTTTATGAATCATATACTACAGTATGGTCTGCCGGTGCGATCCGCAACCGGTTATCGGAAATGTTAATTTTGGGTTTTTTATTTTAACACAAAGCGCTTTTCTTTACTGCGACGGCTGCAGTCACGCAACCGCAGACTTCGTCATCGCTCAGCTGTCAAAGAGCTAAACTATAGTCGATATAAAGCTCCGATCTGTGGACGCTCTTCATGCTCCGATGGATGCATATGGGTTCATTATGTTCGGATTGCGAATTTCGAGTGCAGAGCGGCGCGGCTTAAACTTTCACTTTTTTATGTCGTGGCTGCAGAGATGTTGCAATTGTCGGCCGAAGATAACTAACGAGTTGATGGAGTAGAAAAGCTTTTCAGTGAATCAGCCCAAGGCGATTTTAAAGTAGTCCCATTGAGCAATTAAATATCAATTTAAAATTTTCTTAAAATCTTCAAGCAGGGTGATTCCCGTTTTTCCCTAAATGTTAACTAGTTTGTAGTAATTGCACACTTACTGCTTGCATTGCTTAGGTCGCATAGGTCTCTTATATTAACTTTCTGAGAAGATTTACCAAATTTGATTGCAAGAAGTAAAAATGTGTTCCTTAATTAATTAGACTTAATTAATGGGACTTAAAGAGACATTTAATCTAAATGTTGTACTTTAATATAATAAAATATACAATTTTGAATAGTGGGATTTTGTCTTAAACAGGCAAGACTAAATGTTTTTCCCTTGTTTTTATATAACCAGAAAAGTTATTAAAAAGTTAAATGTGTGGTTCCGGCCAACAAACACGATAGTTATTCTCTCTCCTCCTAATTAGCTTAAAGTCACAATTCTAATTTTACTACTTTCTTAATTAGTGTGGGTTTTACACAGGAATGTCTCTGAAAGCATTTCCTGTCAGTTTTTTATTATTCTGACTGGAATGGATGTATCAACCCTTTCTGGGAGCTGCATAAATTTGGGTGGCTTAATGCGCTTTTAAAGTTCCAGTTGTCTAATAAATTGTTCGGTACTCATAAAAAAGCAAATAAATTACATAAATGTTCGATGCCAGTCACGTTTTGTTCATTAAAATATGAACATTTCACAAGTTGGCAGTTCAAGGTCACCAGTTTGGGGATACTATATACTATACTATACTTTTCAGATAACTTTTTGAAGTTTTAAGGCCTTTATAATGAAATCGAACCAATTTAATACCTAAATTATAAAAGCGTATTTGTGGTCTTAAAAATAACCAATTATTGTCATACTTTATCCACCTCCAGCAGGTTTTCACAAAATGCATATCCTCAGCCTATCTCTGATGGTGGTCCTGCCGGCCATCGCCCTGGCAGGTCTTTGTGCCGTTGAACCCAACGTGAGCCTACTAGATCGCAGGGAAAACTTCTACAAGGGACAACAAAACTTCGCTGTGTCCATGCTGGACGCGATCCGGGAGAGCACTCCCAACGAGAACGTCTTCTTCTCTCCCTACAGCACCTACCACGCTCTGCTCCTCGCCTATTTCGGATCCTCCGGGGAAACGGAGAAGGAGTTGAAAAAGGTGCTTCATCTGGAGTGGGCCGACTCAAAGGAAGTGGTGCACAGCGCCTACGTTCTGGAGAAGAAGAAAAGGAAGGAGCGGCAGAGCAATATGCCGCTGGAGTTCGCCTCCGCGGACCGCATATTCTTCGCCAACGATCTTCCGCTGACCAACTGTGCGGAGACCCGTCTGGTTAATGAGATCAAGCAGACCGACTTCAAGAACAACCCCGAGGAGTCGCGCAAGGAAATCAACGACTGGATCGCCGAGGTCACGCACAACCAAATCCGCAATATGCTCAGCGCCGATGAAATCAATCCTAACACCCGGTTGGTCCTGGCCAACGCCGCCTACCTGAAGGGCCAGTGGCTCAGCCAGTTCAAGACGGAGAAGACTGTTCCGATGCCCTTCTACACTTCGCCGTCAAACTTGTCGCTGGTGTCCATGATGCAGCAGAAGGGAACCTTCCTGCTGAACGTCGACGAGCAGCTGCGTGCCCACGTCCTCCAGATGCCCTATCGCACGGTCTTCGAGTCGCAGGAGAAGCCGGACAGCTTGCCCGATGAGAACTCGGACATCTCCATGGTGCTCATCCTGCCGCCTTTTAACAGCAACTCTCTGGAGGATGTGCTTTCCCGGCTGAACGCCGATACCCTGGAGGAGTCGCTCAAGCAGGCCATGCCACGCGAAATCGAAGTGTCGCTGCCCAAGTTTGAGTTCGAACAGCGGTTGGAACTGAACCCAGTAAGTCTAATTTATAGTGCAGTCCTTTTTTCCAATCCAGTTTCTTCAATAAACACATTCTATTCTTTAGATCCTTGTGAAAATGGGAGTCACGAAAATGTTTGACGCGTCCTCCGCCACCTTCGACGATTATACCTCGGAGGCGATTTCAATTGGAGATTCCAAGCACGTGGCAAAGATCAAGGTGGACGAAGAGGGTAGCACTGCCGCGGCGGCCACAGTTCTCTTCACCTACCGTTCCGCTAGGCCCGTCGAGCCCGCAAAATTCGAGTGCAACCATCCGTTCCTGTTCGTCATCTATGATCGCACCTCCAGATCGATCCTGTTTACGGGCATCTATCGCGATCCCAAAACAATAAAGCAGTAAAATATAAATAATTTCACGGTGCAGCAACTTCGCAATTAACCTAACCAAATTATGTTTTGACTGTTAAGGACAATGTAAACTTTTTAACATACTTAAACGATAATAAATTATGCCCATAACAAGAAAAATATTTTTTTCACATTTATTCGAAATTGGCTTATTAAAACTGATTCTTATGTACTTCAATATATTAACAGCTATTATTTTATATTACTAAAGTTATTAGAACCATATTACTGTTAGTGAGTTTAGTGATAAGATGCCTTAATTTATTTTACGTTTTGCTGAGCTTAAAAAGCTCTGAATCACACAGTTGTTATCGTCAAAAAATAAACTAAAATAGTCTGCTTAAAGTTTGAAGGTTGAGTTTAGTTTTTTTATTAAGTTTTTTTTATTAAGTTTACCCACCCAATGAAAACGCTGTTTGTAAAATAAGTTTTGCTCAATTTACTAAGTTTTTCATACAAAAATCGCATAAATAATCAAATCTACAAAGTTTCATTTTGGTTGTTTCCATTAAGTAAACACTGCTACGTAAACAAATATGCAAATAAGGATGTGGTATGGGGAGAAAGGGGTCCAAATCGGAGGAGCGTAGGCAACCCGGTCGCTTTACCACGCGTGTGTACAATCATCTTTAATACTTAACACGAAACCGAAACTGAACGTTCAATCAAATCAACACAAAATAATTCGACAAAGAAAATTTGTGTTGTTGGCTATTTTAGAACAGAAGAATTCATTAGGTGAACTAAATTTGTATGTCATGGCCGAAGCGGAAAGCACTGAAGGCACTTTTGTCTTTTCTTAGTTTCGTTCTGTTGTTTGGCAAGCAAAATACATGAATCAATTTCATCTTTAGATTAATTAATACAATCCTGGCCTTTCCTGATGCTCCTCGAAGGAAAACAGGGTTTATAAGGTAGTACCTACAACTAAATCTTCAAATAATGTGGGGTCGTCAACGGGTGATCTCGTCTGGAGTTCCATTGCTCCGCCTGCCTAAATGCCCTTTGGTGGCATGGCGACAGCGTAGATGGCGAATCCGATAAACACAATGCCACCCACGATGGTGACAGTGCGAACAGAGATTTTGGAAGCCAATAGACGACCTCCAATCACAGCCAGGCCAGTGCAGATGCAGTGGCCAACAATTCCGCCAGAGATAACGCCAAAAACGTCCTGCGATAGGAAATGGTAAGATAAGTTTACTCTGATGATAAATAATTTGTAAAGGTAGTCGCAAACGGTGCACTTCTTAGTCTGAAAGTCACATTCAATCCACTTACCCTGTTGGCGGCGAGCACTATGGTGGTCACTTGAGAGCGGTCACCCCATTCAGCCAGGAAGGTCATCGTGAAGGCCTGGGCCAGGATGCGCATGGTGAAATAGGTTGCACCACGTTTTTGTGGGCGGCGTCGACCGCTCTCGGCATCATTTACCAGCGCCGCGTTCACATCACGGTCCAGCTGTAATAGACATTAGTTTAGATTAGTGAATAAACATTAAAAAACTACAAGATTTCGATGAAAATGTGCGCAAACAAAGGAAAAAACAGCAAATTAAAAAGACATGGAAATACTTTTGAACAAGATATTGTGGGTACCACTTCTCCTGCTTATTAAACCAAAAAAGAAAACTAAAAAAGCATAAAACGATCACTTCAAAACAACATGCAGAGAGATTTAATTGTGAAATGTGTGCGAATCGAATGGGAGTGGAACAGAACCAATGGGTAATCATGGACAGTGGCTACCAAACCAGATGACTTAAAGTTAACTTTTAAAAAATAACCATGGTTGTTTTTTGTGACTATGAATGGTGACACTTTAATGGGAGTTTTTTGGTGTAGGTATGTTTTTTTGGGGCAAAAAGCACGTGAAACGAATATGATTAAGAAACAACAAACGTTAGCAGTTGTCAGTTATTGGATTAGTGCAGCCCGGAACCCATTTCGATTCTAGTTAAATTTTAAGGAATTAGAATTGATTAGAATTTTTTTTTTTCAATTACTTTTTTTTAACTAATGGCACTTGCCAATTTGAGTTCTTTATGTTTCTGGGTGACCTCTATAAAGTCACATTTGGCTTAACTTTATGGGAGTGTTTTAAAAATGTTTCAGTTTTTAAACCACTTTTTTAAAATTATTGGAATTTAAGATAATTTATAAAATCACACTAATTTTATGATTGCGATTTAAACAAATCTTACGAATATCAAAGAAATATCCAATGTTCTAACAATTCCAATTTCAAAAAAAGTAATAGAACAGGAAACGAGAGCTGGGCTGGAAAACGGATTCTGGCCTAACCCGTGCTTTGAGGGTGCCATTAGTCGGTCCGGCGGGAACCCCGTTGAGACTGCCATTGAGACTATGCATGCTATCGTATCCGGCCAGCGGAGCACGGGGCTCCGATGCACCTCCGACGGACGGATCGGTGGGATGACCAGCCTGCTGGACATCGACGGTGGTTGTGGAGGCGGCAATGGAGTTGGTTTGTTCGGTCTGGTTTGATGAGGCCGCCGAGTGGGCCGGACTGCTGTGGTAGGTCTTCATTTTGAGCTGTTCCACAATGCGGCCGCCCTCCTTCAGGAACACCTCCGACTCGTGCTGATCCCGGTCCTCTTCATCGGTGCTAGTTTTATCACAGCTATTTTGCTTACTATTTAAATGGGTGGTGCTGTTATTGTTGTTGAGGTGGTTGCGCTGCTTTCGCTGGCGGTGCTGCATGTCGGAATCACTGACGCCGGGAACGGAGTTGCGGCCATGGACAAGCGCCTGCTCGCTGGCATCCTCCTTGTCCGAGTTGCTGTTCTTTCGCTTGCCCTCCGAGTCATCGTACTTTCGGCTGGCTTTGCGCATCAACTGCGTTCAGATCGACCAAATAATCATAGTCGAGTGCGGAATATGGTATTTGATTTTTTGTCACGTTTTGGTAACATTTTCAGGGACAATGTTAAATCATATTTTTAAATTTCGTTTTGCAAAAAGGAAAAACAATTAAAAATTTGCATTAGCTAGAAAGTCAATTGGCAGAAATTTTGATTTTTGGCAAAAAGCTTTTCCATTTCAAACGATTTTTGGTTTAGTACGAATTTGCTTTTTTCATTAAACTTTTGAAACTCGCTTGTATTTGATATGCGCAAATCGTGCAATTAGTCACATAGGCTTAAATGGGTGGTATATGTATGTGAATTTTTAATGTTTGATTATAAATAAATCAAGAAAAGAGATTTGTAAATTTAAATTGAGAGTATTTGGCAACCCAGCTGTATCAGTGACGCTTTTCCGCACGCCTTTTCGTTGATTGGTTTGCATTAATTAGGGTTATTAAGGTAACCGTAGTTTTGTTAGGGGCTAATAACAATTCTTAATTAGCATGCAATCAAGGAGTAATTACAATTATGAAAAGCTTTGAGATCGTGTTTGATTAGTATTTGTTTGCTTGTTATTGTTCGCGGCTCTCGTGTCAAGCAAAGTTGTGAGGATAAATTAAAGTAGGACTGAAAAACCAAAGCGGGGCATATGAAGTGATCGCTTTAGCATAGCATCAATTGTTTTGTTTTTTTTCTGTACAGTTTGCCAGTCATTAATGGTTAGAATAATAGAAAAATAACAATTTAAGCGCAGCTATTAACAAAAGCAATAAGATTAACTAATTACTTAAATAATACAACAAATAATAATACTCCAAGAAGCAAAACTACTGGAAACATTGTTAATATCTAGAGTAACTACTGCACCACATAGCACAACTACTGTACACGGGGGGATCCATCAAGGACCACTCACCTCATCCTCGCGCTTGCGCAGATCAGATTGAACCTCTTCCAATTCCTCCTGAGCGTCGGTTGGCTTCATTTTGTAGCCGTCATACAGCATTTTCAAACCGAATATTAAAAATAATGCAGTTGAGATATAATACGTATAAACCTGTGGGTAAAAATTATTTGATTAGTTTTTTAACTTAATTATACTTGCATATTTTGAACCCTCTAAAATAATATTAATAATGAAAATATTACATTTTTGTTATTGCTTCCAAACTTTTGACAAGAATATTTTCATATAAAGAAAGTTATACTGAGGGCTGCCAATATTTAGATCGCCTACCTTAGGAATAAAGTTCGCTGCCATGCCAAATGCGCATGAGAGTACCGTCATTAGGGCCAAGGCGGCAATGGCACCGCCAAAGACAATCAAACGCGGATGGCGCATGGCCATTATGGCAGCTATAAAGAAAGTCTTATCCCCTAGCTCTGTTAGTAAGATAACAGAGATCGATGCGGTAAACGCATCGATAAAGGTTCCATCCGGTTTTGGCCCATCCGGAACATCGTTTGCTTTTTCCGCTAAAGAGCTCAGGTCCGTTGGCTTGTTCAAATCTGCTTGCATGTCCAGGTCCTGTAGGGTGCAAATGGTTAATAGTTTTCACAGAACTATGCATGACCTACGCTCTGTATTCCAGATTCAATAACCGCATTGTCCGCACTATCCGGTTGAGCTTCCGCCGCACAAATTGTGCCAAATGTGAGCACCACCATCAAGGCCAGCGCCATGTGCCATTTGGCTGAGCGCTTCAGGTATACATTGTGTCTGGTCGTCTGCCAGAAGTAGGATTGGTTTTGTGACATCTTTGCTGTCTGTGGATGGGAACTGCTGCTCCTCTATTCTTGCCTCATGCAAATATCCGTGTTTAAGGCAATCCGTTGTACTTTAAACGTTAACGTGTCCGTTGCCCTCGAATGACTGCAAAGAAATAAAGTGGAATCGTTAAGAATCTCGCTCACATGGGGTAAAATATAATGGGTAAGGCACAATGTTTATGGCTAATCAGGCAACAAGTGTTCTCCGCGGCATTATTTGTACAAGGCAAACAGAAAATCACCCGTGTCTGTGTTTGACCAAGTCAAAACTGGGCTCAATTTCGGTGGGGTATGGAGTTGCGGAGGAAGGTCGGAGCACAGATAAGCGGCCACTGCGTCAAGTGCGACTGATATGGTCAATCAATGTCGCTGCTCTCAGTTTGGTACCAGTACAATCCAATTGCCGAAATACCCTCCTCCACATCGCACGACCATTCGATTCGTCAGACGCACAAAGCACTCAGCTATCGATTAGATAATAGCCTGAGAAATATTAGAAAACGAATGCAATTTCATGTTGAATTCTGTACGCTCTTATGGAATCTCCCTTGGTATGTTTATACAGTTTATCAGAAAAGTTTGTAGGTGCTGTGTGGGCGCCAAATATTTATGTGTTATTTTGCTTAGATCGCAGTTCGCTATCTTTAAAATTAACCCACAAAATAAGGAACTCTCAGAAATGATTTGTAAACTAGAAAGGTTGAAACTGGGATTAGCATTAAATTTATGAATGGTATTTATCTTCCCAGTAAATGAATAACTTAGCTGTTTTCGTTAGTAATTTATTTTATAATAACTACTTGGATATTTATCCAATTACAGTTTTAGAACAATCAAAATTTTTCGAAATAGTATGCTTATTAAAACTTTGTCTTATCTTCTTTTATTGTTCCACTAATAAAAGTGTCAAAAGTCTAACAATAAGTGAGAATCACAAAGTACACCTTTTACTTTTATTGAAGAGCACTTGGAGATAGGGTATAAAAATAGACAGATATGTACGTGACCAAAGAACCGAAAAAAAGTTGAACTGTAATCGGCTACTATATCTGATGTACATGCGTATGGGCATGTTCATAACATTTGTATAAGTATATTTTATTTGGTTGTATTATTAGGTGGTGTTTTACTTTGATGTTGCGAAAATTCAGTATGCCAAGTGTGATTTCCCTGCTGAACTGATTATTAGTTCATTATTATTTAAAACCACTGAGATTATGCTATCTATTTCATAATATGGATAATGGCTCTGGAATTAAAATAAAATTATATTCTTATCATTAGTATGCCTGATTTTTTTTAATAACCTGTTTCATTATATTCTTGTAGGGTATATATATAAATAATATATCTTTTTCAAAAAGAGATTTACTCTGTGGTGTTTAATGCAAATTGTATATTTACTTTACTGACTAATTGATGAACCTGAGATCTGTAAATATCCTAGGAGAGTGTAAAACAAAGAGGGTTTCATCATATTACTGTCTTATTTTACATGAATCAGCGTTGTTTATAGAAGAGTCTGGGGTATCTTTTTTTCGTTGACTTTCTTGTGCTTCCCATTTGCATATGGTTTCTGAACTGCTTATTTTTATACTTTTTCATATTTCATTAACGTCACAAAAGTGGATATTTGCCCGATAATAAAATGAAGACGCAATAAGGGGGTTATTTGCGATTATAACAGAGAAAAAACGAGCATCCCGTAAAAGCTATCATTATGTAAACATATGCTGATTCTTCGAAAGCCTGGCGGTTACGTCTTGCTTTACTTGTAATGGAGGGAAGAGTCAAGAAAACTATTAGTTTTGTTGTGGAAGTTTAGCAATAAATGAAGGTAAGGTTAATTGAACCAGCGTCTCAAACAACAAACCAAACATTTTCAATAATAATTTATTAATACGTATACGTATTTCCAGTTCCATTTAATTGAATTCAAATTACAAACTCACTCACACACAAATACAAATTCGCGTTGATTGGCCCGCAAAAAAATAAATAAGAACAGAAAACGGGTCGCGAACGGGCAGATAAATCAATTGCCTAGAGTATAGAACACAGTAGAAATAATATTCATTTATGCCCAGATATGAACATACATATATACATATGTTGTAATGGTCTTGTTTTCGAATGGATGGCATTGATTTGTATTTCCCTTCTATTTTTTCGCGAATTTCTATTTTTGTGAGACACGCAACAACAAGAATTTACGGTTTCATGCCGCCGCTGATCACTATAGCTATCGTTTTTTTCAACTTATTAAATTTATAAAACTCTCCACTGGTAATTAATGGCACAGGGTCAACTTATGGTTGCAAATTTATTTATTTAATAGCTGCCATTATGAGCATTGTTTTCATTGCTTTTCGCTCTGCACTTTAATTGCTTTCAGCGCTTTTCCGCCAGACTTAGCTACTTGTGTCGCACAGGTGGGCATCACTATCAAAAACACTTAGCCGCTGACGACAGCAAAACCTCAATCAATTGAGATGTATGTAACTGCATTGCTCGCGAATACCACTCAGCACGAGGAATCGGAGTTTCATTTTGGGTGACTCATTTGTTGCGAATCAACGTCAATTTATAATTTAATTAGATTAATTAGTGGTGCACAAGAAACACGTCCTTACGTTGCGAGAATTACTTTTGGTTCTGCTCGAAAAGGTGTTGCAAAGCGTTTGAAGGCGAATAGTTCTGCATAACGTGGCCAGATTTAAACAGCTGTTGGCGCCATTCGAGCGAGATGGACAGATATTATGCGATAGAGCAGGATAGAATAATACCTTCAGACCTAGAGAGGAGCTCATAGCCAAATAATTAATGCGATAGTTTCAGAGGGTAGATTAAGAAGTTCCAGGATAACATATTATAATTATAAAATATATTTTTTTTAATATATGTATATATATTAGTCTTTATTATTATCATACAATTGGTATATTTATACGTATATTTACTTATATTATTCACCAAATTTTTAAATTTTGCAATCATCGCCTTGGCACAATATTCGATATTTAGTACCGTTAAATATTCACGCAAGGAGTGTCTGAGTTGCACATCCCTAAAGCAAAATAATTCCTTTCTTGCGACGGTCGTAGTCGGATTCAGAATTATATTCAGACTTGGCTGGCTGGATAAAAGCTAGCATTGAAATGACAGAGCCAAGATGTCGATATCAAAATTATTCGTGAAAGTGTTCAACGAGGATATATTCGAGCAGGTGGACCACGACAATCTGTACTCGGATTTGGACGATGACTTGGAGGGTGCTAATTGCTCGACGGTGCCGGATCCGAGGCCCGCGAAGCTCTCTGATTTGTCCGTAACCAAGTATGAGTGTCCTTAACCCCTACTCAAAGGGCCTTACTAACGATAGTCCTTTTCGCAGGCAGATGATCATAGTGCGAACGTGGCTAGATGACAAGTTCCAGCAAATTCAGACGGACAGCAATGAGGAGATCCGGCGCCTATACATGGAGACAGAGAGCCGCATCGGCCCGGATCTGACCATATTCGACGTGGACTATACAACCACGGTGCGCGTATCCTCGGATCGCCTGGCGCTGCGCTCCCAGGGAAGCTTCAATACGGTCCGGGCGAATTGTTGCGTGTACGGCGGTCGCTGGATGTATGAGGTAATCGCTATTAAGAGTGGGTGTGGGCATATATTGGGGAGTGGGTGGTAGATTTGGCGGTGGTTGACCGGCGGTCAATGACTTGTATTAAGGAGTGTGGGTTGCTCGTGCGTACTAAAAGCTCGTTTACTTTTTTCAGATCCACCTGCACACCAAGGGCGTCATGCAGATTGGATGGGCCTCCAACTCCTGCCAATTCAACGAAAACAGCGGCGTGGGGGATACCAAGTCTAGCTATGGATACGATGGCAGCAAGCAGCAGATCTGGCATATATCCACCAAGAAGTAAGCTCATGGGACTTTTACTGATTTTCGGTTAAAGTTGCTATTTCATTTAAAACAAATTTTTCCTTTTCAATTCATTATTTCTAGTATTATTTTTTAACCTACACCCATATCCCAAAATATTAAAAACAATATACTTTTAGGTACGGCGATAAATGGCAGATTGGCGACGTCATTGGCGTGACCATTGATGTGGAGAAGGAAGTAATCGAGTACTACCGAAATGGACGTTCGATGGGCGTGGCGTTCTACAAGTTGGAGAAGGGTCCGGGCATAACTTTCTTCGCAGCCATCTCCCTGGGTTACACGCAGGGCATTGAAGCGAACTTCGGGAATCGTCCGTTCATGTATCCTGTACCGGGTTTCCAACCGCTCATGGCCCGACCCATCCTTAAGCTTCGGCGGGCCAATCTTCTGTTGAACTACCTGATTAACCTAGCGGGCATATTTTCCAAGTACAATGCTCAGTCAGCGACAGCGTTATCCAACGCCTCTGAGGCCCGTGTTTCTACCAAGAAGACGGTGTACTGCATTTTTGCCACCTTGTTGATTGAGAAGTTTACCAACGAGATTTTTGATCCCTACATTATCGAGGACGTGCTGCTGAACAGGATCTCGTCCCTGACAACGCTGGCAGCGGAGAAGGAAAGCCGACACACCGTGCTTCAGGGCTTATTGTCGCTATTCTGGAACTACATGGAGGGCGATGAGATCAAGTTTGTGTTGCGCAAGCTGGTAAACGCCCTTCTGGGCACCTTCACGCATACGATCCAGGGTCTGGACTATGAAAAGCACCACCACGCACTCAGTATGCTTCACTGCCTCTGTCTGCACGAGCAGACCAGGAAGTATCTACTGGAAGGAAAGCTGTTCAAGAAGCACTGGTAAGTCTAGGGAATTAATGTCGTCTAATTCTGATTTTTTAAATGGAGTTGTAAATGATACTACGTTTATCTTGTTTTTATCCGCTTAGCCTCGCCTTTTTTCTGTATATCCATCCGCTGGAGTTTTACATCATGGAAGAGTTGCTGCCCGACAGCATGGCCTGGACGGAGGGGATCGATGGACCCAAGGAAAAATATATGAATGTGGTAGATAAGGTGCGCAAGGTCACGGAGACTTTGTATGTGGCGCAAAAGGACCTACTTTCAACGCTGTTGATTAACTTTGATGGAACGCGGGAGAGTCCGTCAAGCCGCTCTATATTTCTGGTCAAGATGCGTCGCTATGTGATCGATCTCAGCATGGAGCAAAGGGTGAGTATTGCCACTGACAATTTTATAGCAAATTCACAGCTCATCTCTTCTTCTTTCAGCCCTTTCATGCCTTTTTCTTCATGCAGTCGAGCATCCAGCATCCACTGGATGCGCCTGTAGCCCTCGCCTTCGCTGGTATTCTTATTGATCAGACACGCGCGATGTTTAAGGAGGAAATGCCCAGTAAGAACGTGGAGGTGAACAGTGATTTTTTCATTGATGGTACTTTTGACTACATGCACTTTGATCGCGTTGGAGGCGTCCTGTCTCATTTGAGGAAAGTTCATCGGGGCGACATCGATGCCAGATTAGGAGCGGCTCGCACTCAGCAAATATATGACGATGATCGGCAGAACTTGCGAGTCAATGAAGTGGGTAAGTTTATACTATGTCGGGATAAATTAAGGACGAAAATAAAAATGTTCAATAATCTAATTCGATCCAATGTATTTCATTGTTAAAACATTTCGATTACTAATTGTAATTACAGACACCACGCTTTACCTGCTGGGCGAGAATATCAACAATGTGGCGGTGGTCGGACGAACTCAGGGCGATAGCAACACCACCTACACCCACTTTCTGAACCCTAGACCCAGCAGCAGCGCCGAGTCCTCGCCAGGCAATGCGGATGTGGAGGTCAGTCTCTGCGAGCTCTTGGATCTGTGCGTCATCTTTTATTACTCGGCGGGTCACAAGTATATTGTTAAGATAGCCACGGTAAGGGACGAGATCGCTGCTCTAAACGAAGTGCTTAAGGAGACGAAATTTTACCGCGAGGACATAGAACGTAAGTTGGTTGCTCTGGAGCAGCATGCTAATGTGTGCATGAACGAGAACCACCAACATGTGATGGGGGAGCTTCGTTCAAAGTTCAGTCAGCGCCAGAATGTCTTTGCGGTGAGTTAATATTTATTAATTTTATTTAAATGTCATTTCTAATTAAATTATGTTTCTTTTTTTATTTGAATCCGATCTACAGACTCGCTCAATTGCGCTGGCTAGAAAACAAATCTGGTTGAGAGGAGTGGCCTTAAATGGTCACCGACGATCCTTGCTCATATGGCTACTAGAGCGTATGCTTCGAACTCTTACGGTAAACCAATCGATTTACAACCTTGCCTATTATTGAACATACTATGTATCTCCCTTAGAGCGCTTCAAACACCGGTTCTTTGTTCTCATTTGTACCTGAGGTGTATGTGAATACACTACCCATTCTGCTGGATGCCGTAATGGACTTCAGCCACCATGACTTAAAGGCCCAGTTCGAAGCATCGGATGCGGAATGCGGCGTAAACTCAGCAGCGGAATTTTTAGGCATTCACTCTGCGGATCCCCGCATTGTGCTGGCCTCCTGCAAGGACTCACTGCTGCAGGCTCTGGGCACACTCACCTGCCATAAGTCCGGTGTGCGAGCCCTGGAGCGAACTTCAAAGAGATCTCAGGCTTGTTTGGTTCGAGCACTACTGCGTCCCTATGAGAACAGAGCTTGGGGCCAGAGCAATTGGCTGCTCCTGCGTTTTTGGATGGGCGAGGGTTATGCCTACAAGGATTCCCGCCAACCATCCGTGTGGCAGGGTGGATCGCTGCCTCTCCATCAAGGACTATGTCGTAGTCGCTCCAGGAATGAGACGCACACTGGACTCCTGCACAACGTCGCCCCGGCCAATCCATCCAAGCATTTTCAAAGGCTGATCGGCGCCAAGCTGGTGGAGGATGAGCCTTTTGCCACCGCCTTTCTGAACTCGGTGTTAAGTCAATTAAACTGGGCCTTTTCTGAATTTATTTTACTGCTGCAAGAGGTGCGTTAATGGTTTAAGTTTTGAACAAAAAGAATTTCACTAAATAATTTTTTTAGATCCAAAACACCGCTCAGAGGCAGGAAAACACCCTGTTCGAGCCCAAGCAGCTGAAGATATGCTCCATGTGTTTTGAGTTGACAGTCTCGCTGATGCGATGCCTCGAGATGGTCATCACAGCTGCGCCTGAGGTCGTGACGGATGCATCTCGTCCAAACAGCGATCTCCTACTAAACCGCATCTGTCAGCTAATCAGCCAAGTGCTTTCTCGAGTGACAGTCCCACCGGGATGCTTCCAGTTCGTGGTGGACATGTGCTCGGCGGACTTGAATGCAGTTACCCACTACCCTATTGTCACCGCCGCTTTGGGGATTCTGTTGGCCCTGATGCAGGAAGAGCTGGAAAGTGACATGAGGCCACAGATTGTGACGCGGGTGTCCCGGGCTTTCCTTACCGACCCAAGTTTTCAATTCGCTACGCTGGAGTTTGCACTTGGAGAAATACGAACACCGCTGCTGGAGCAGAAGAGCATACCCCGGGGTAATTTTGATCCCTCTTCCAGGCCCCACATCGATCCGCTGACCAACGATGTGCGAGTGCCCTTACCTAACAACTCCAAACGGATTCGTGCCGATCCGCCAATCCTGAAGTTTGCTCTTAACGATTGTGAGTAAATCAAAGATATTTTGAAGCATAGATCGAAAAATCAATACTAAATAATAATTTCTCAATTTATTTCGCAGTTCCTTCCCACGTGTCCGCCGAGGAGATCGATAACGTGCGCAGCCTAATCGAGAGTTTACGCATAAAGCAGACGCTGCTATCCGACATAACCCTGCCATCGGAGGACTCGTTGTGCCCGATTTGTTGTGCCAAGCCAATCACCGCCGTGTTTACGCCCTGCAAGCACCAGTCCTGCAGCGACTGCATCATGCAGCACATGATGAACTCAAAGGTGTGCTTCTACTGCAAGACCACCATCCAAACCATTGAGACGTTGGATGGTGAGGTCATCTACTCCAATGATGAAGTCGTTCCGACGCCCATGGCCGAAAGGGCATAATCGAAAACCCACCGAAAGCGATCGAGGAACTATTTCTTTCTAAAGCGTAAACAAGTCTAGTCGCTTTCAAAGACGATCTCCTACGCATTAAGTGTATACATACATATTTAGGTACATTTACTTGTATTGTTTCGTAAAATTTGTATTTCAGTTGAATGCTTGCCATTATAAGTTCAGATGTGATATGCCAAAAGTGCAATGTAAAGAAGTTTAAAATAAGGGAAAATGAAGTATTAGAAAGATTAAAACTAAAAAATATATTAAGTAGCACAATATTTTAACTAATGTTTTTTGTGTTAACCCAGTTTATTTGCCACGTTTATATATATTTGATTTTATCTTATTTCGCACGGACATAAATGCATTAAGTTAAAAGGAAAAAATAACAAAACGAATGCATTTATATTAAAAATTTTCTAAAGCCGGTATAAATCTTAATGATTTATACTTTTAGGATGTCAACCAAAGATCTCTTAATAATCAAAAATGTATCTGTTTCTGAAAAGCATAAATAAAATGACTTTAATTAAAACCTATTTGTATGTGTTTTGGTGTGAATAGAAATCGTCTAAAAATCTAGCTATGTATATATAGCAAATCTCATTGAAGGTTGTGTAGTTATATATTTTATTTTCTTAAATTTCAGGTGTAGTTTATAGCATTACATCCAAGTTTTTATCAATTAAAAATAATACAATTTAAGGGATTGGAATTAAATAAATAGTTGGACCTTTAGTTAAAACATTTAGAAAATAGAATCCCTTTGGAAACATTTATTTTATATATGTGTCCACATAAAATCTACTTAACCATTTAGCTACTACAAATATATAGAGATTTATAATACATATATAATAAGTTTAGTTTATTTTGTGAGCAAACGCTGCCTCAGGTGGTTTAATGAAAATGTGTGGAAATGCCTTTCCTTTTGTAGTTTGGTTGCCCTTTTGGTATTGTCATATATAGAGGTCAATAAATTTGAAATCTTTTGATTAATACACATGAAGAGTTAACAGTTTTTACAGATTCTTAGCATATTTAGACACTGCTCGACTATTTATAGTCTGGGTATATATAACATGTAGGTACTTTCTTTATCTATTCTATACACTATGAGATTCAACAACTAACTAAACCCTAATAATTGCTGACTAGTTATCATCACAACACCACAAAGCGCGCGAAAACATTGAACAGAATCCGAGTCAGTATACATGATATGGATGTGGGTTGCTGGTGCTGCCTGGTGAATTCTTTACAGGATCCGGCAGGCGTTCGAGTGCATCCGGTGCGAATGACGTCCATTTCCGTGTCCAAAGCCACTGCAGCACTGGTGGGTAATTCCCCCTCGGGGAGAGTGCTGGAAACTCTGGCTGTTACTCATCTTCGGATCCAGGTGGTGGCAGCTGGGTGCATGGCTATGTCTGTCATTGGGATGGAATGGAATCTTGTATAAGTGGGAAATTCGGGTGAGTTGATAAGACCAAATATTCACCCATGACTGCAGAGGCCGGAATCTGAAATGGAGCTGGGCATCAGGCGCTGTTGCTGCTGCGGCGGTGGTGGCAGGAAAAGGGGACACCCACCAGCGGCCAGATCACCCCCACCACCTCTGTCATGACCAAACAGGGCCATCCGCATGTTGGCAGCCTTCGTCGCCGACTGGGACTCCACTTCGTGGACCTCCTCGATCATCTTGTCCAGCTTCTCCATGGCCTTCGTCTGCTTGGCGGCCAGGAACGCCTTTCGCGCCGCCTTTGACATGGAATGGGGTCTGCAAATAGGTTTGGTCGTGACCGACAGCTTTAAGAAACTGGTTTCGATTTTTGTTTTAAAAATTAAGATTTTTAAACTTAAGACAAAGGGTTTGCCTTTCGCATATCGTTTATATTTTCCCTCTTAAAATTGATTTAGTTTAAAGGAGATACCGGGTAATATTAATAAATTGTAAAATATGGATACCTTCCTTATAAGAGAGAGAAACAAATTCAATAGGCTCACCTGGATGGAGCAGAGTTCGATCGATGTGGAGGAGGTGAGTGCAGGGAAATGGATGAGACCGAATCCTTCGATCCTGGGCGTTTGGTGTCGCTTTTGCTGGTAGTCGCCTGCACCACCGGCGACTTGGGTCGCATGGGACACACAACGGCAGCCACTTCTGTCGTCGTAGTTGCATCCAAGCTGCTGCAGTTGGAGAAGGTGATTTTTCTAATGAGCGTGGAGTTGGCCAAAGGTTCTTAACCCCCAAAACTTACTTGAGCTTGGCTGCCTTGTCCCGATCCAAGGATGCACTGCTGCAGGATGCCGTTTCCCTGGCCGGAGCCGTCGATGGCGGCGTCAGTTGATCCATGGCGGCCAGTTCCTCGGGCGTAAACTTATTCGGATTACTTGGTCTCGGCTTGGGTGGTGCGCTGCCAATCCGGAATGGGGGAGTTGGACTGAATCCACAAGAGGGCGGATTATTACTATTGTTGGCCAGTGAGCTGCGAGAGATTTGCAGGTCTTCGAGAAATTCCTCGGTGTCCAGAATGAGTGAGCCAAAAATGTCCGACGGGGAGCGCATAAACACGTGTCCTGTGGAATTGGAGCGTGATTCGCGGCGCTTTTCCTGGTCTGGTGAATTAGCTGCGCTCCGACGAGCCACGTCCTTGAAAGTTACTGGTGAATAGATCCGACTGTTACGGTCATCTGGAGGTGCCCCTGCTCCCGGTCCTCCTCCAGCTGCTGAATCTCCCACACCTCCTACTCCTGTTGATCCTGCAGATTCTGAAGCTGCAGCTGGTCCACCCGCCACAACCGTCTGGTGATGAAGCGACATGTGTGCCGCTGCAGCTGCTGTAAGAACCAAACCCGACATGCTGGACGAAGGAGCTACCACATCCACCGACGGAACGGAGGTGGCAGGAATCGAAACCTCTAGCGAAACGGAAACGGGAACCAAAGGAGTCAGCGATTTGGACACCGGCGGCATAATTGCCTTCGTTTTTGATGTGGGCGTGCTCGAAACTGGAGAGACCGGATGAACCTGGAGAGTAGTGGTCAGTTGGAGAGGCAATCGGTTCTCGCGCTCCTCCAACCAGTACGTGCCCATGGTGCCCTTGCCCTTCACATCGATCTCGCCCCGCTCCAGGATCTTGTAGTTGGGACCGATTAGAATCTTCGTGGACTCCGAGATGTGTACCTTCATGGCGATGCTGGTGGACTCCATTCGCGAGGCGGTATTTACGGTATCCCCAAACAGGCAGTAGCGCGGCATCTTTAGGCCAACGATGCCTGCCACCACGGCACCCGAGTGGACGCCCACACCTGGAGGGGATTGTGATAGTTAAAAGTCCTATCAACCAGCTTTAACTTATTCACTTACGTATCCTCAAATGCTGGCCCGTGGAGGGATCCTTCAGATCGGTTATGGCATCCACCATATCCAGGGCCATATCACAGACTCGTTCGGCGTGATTGGCATCCTTATCCGGGGCCCCCGCCACTACCATGTATGCATCGCCAATTGTCTCCACCTTGTATACAGAATTCCTCTCCGTCAGCTTGTCGAAGATCGAGTACATGGCATTCAGCATGGACACCACCTCCATCGGAGTGATGCGACTGCAGATCTCCGTGAAGGTCACAATGTCCGAGAACAGGATGGAAACACTATCGAACATCTGCGGGTGGGAAGTATTTTATTTTATTATAGCTTATATCTATTGTATTGTAAGATATCCCACACTCACTTCACAAGTATCAATGGGATTCTCGCCGCGTCTTAGCCTATCAGCCACCTGTTTGGGTATCATCTGATAAAGTAGCTCATCAGTTCGTCGCATTTCCTCATCCAACTAAGAAATATATATAGAGATATATTCATCAGTCAGTTCCTCTCCTCCACTCCTTATTATTATTACCAATCTCATGGACTCTTCCAGCTTCTTGGACTTTTGCTGCTCTTGATCCAGGGCCAATTTCAGTTCCACTGATTGTTGAGTACCCGCCAGCATAAGATCCCTGCTAAAGTCGTGCATGGACAGATCGTTGATATAGAGGCCAGTGGTTATCAGCGAGTTCAGATCTGGCATCACGGGAGTGCCCAGGAACATGATCATGCGCCAGTTTTCCATGTAAACCATTTGACCTGTGCGAAATGGTAAGGTATTTTATGGGACTTGTTAATATATAAACTTATAAAAAAGGCCTCGCCATTGGGAAACAAATTCACTTAACAGAATTGTATACCTTTAGGAATGACAGCTCATAAAATATTATTAATGTTTATAAGAAATCAAATTATATGGTTTTTAATAAATTAGACTTAAGATTTTATTTAAAAGGATTTCGTTCTCAAAACTCTTCAACTACCTTTTAGCCTCAATGACTTTTCCGGTTCGCTGCCATCTTCATGCTGAAGTAAATCCTCGTTTTGAGCGTCAAATCTTTCGGTGACTGGATCCACAGTGACCAATTCAAATATGTTATTGGTACGATTGAGTATCTGAGAAATATTATAAAGTTAAGTGATATAAACGCCGGATCAGGCAGAAACTTACAGTCTGGAATTTGAATGCAATCAGGGGACGAACCAAATCAAACCAGGCTGTGATTTTTTTGCCAAGCAGTTCAGGCAAAATCACCATTAATGAGTTTCCTATACTGCGTACTACCATGTCAGCACTATATATAAAAATAATCAAAGAAAACAATTTATTAATTTAGTTATAAAAATAATCCTTATATAACATACAAAAAAGGTAGTTTTATTCTAAGAATGATTGTCTTAAAAGGTTTAAATATAGGTTTAATCAATACCAGCAAATTAACTTTATGATTATACATGAATTAGTATCGGCAGGCTATCAGATATTTCATTCTAAGAAATAATTATGTTGAAAATAAGCTAGAACAGTAATGACTGTATGCTAATTTCTTACCCAAACACCATGCAGAAGGGAAAGATCTCGAACAGCACATGGGCACTGATGGGCAGGTGCTTCTCCTCCCGCGTCATGGCCAAGGATGCCAGGGTAAAGGCCCGGTTGTCGAAGGTCAGCTGGAAGGTAACATGGACCGTGTCGAAGAGGATCTCCTCCCGAACCAGTTCGATGTGCATCTCCTTGTGGTAGAAATAACGCGCCACCTCACGTATCTGGCCCATCGTGTAGTAGACGAATCCCCGACGCTTGGAGCGATAGTGCAGGGTCAGACCCTGCTTCGTCTCGTTCTCGCAGATGAAACTGGGTGCCCTCATCCGCGGATACGAGAACTTCAGGTACTCGTGCAGGTTATCCAGTCCGTTGAGGAAGTCGCGCATATGGCGACCCAGCACGGAGAGGACGCGATCGTAGCCATACTGACCCACGAAGCCGACGAAGTAGACGCCCATCTGGTCCATGAACTCCCGCTCCGAGACGCCCAGGACCTATAGAATAAAGGAAAATGTTCAATACAGGATAGCAGCAAGTCATTTAACTGAAAAAGATCGTAATATCTAGTTTTTTGATAACACTAATTACTTAAACCCACCTGTTGGGCCTTTTTGGCCAACTTCTGGAGCAGATTCTCGGGATAGACCTGATGGACGCTGAACGAGGGCGAATCGATCCCAGCCTGTCGTCGGATGTCCTCCCATTTCTCTTCTCCATACACAGACTTTATGTACTCGGAGAGATTCTCCAAGAGCAGTCCGTACATCTTGGGGCCGAGGGAGTCACTTCCGAAGGCTTCACTTGGTTGTCATTGATGGTTAGACCTGTCAATATAGACTGGAATCAATTGATTGACACTCTAACGGGGGTGAACTATAATTTTAATAGGCCTTTATAATAAACAGAAATTAATCACAAAAATAAAACGGAATTTCAAAGATCCTTGACATAAATTCCCGGCATTTATTTTTGGGCTCATTCCGCATTTTTTTAATGGCTTTTCTTTATAGATTGACATACTTTTTAACACATTTTATGGATTTTCCCAGTATGACTCTGCATTACACATACGCCCAGCTGGATTCGGTCTGCCTGAAAAACTGTGCCAATTTCAATGGGTCCACTTGAACCGTGAAATCATTTAAAAATTAATGCCTGGTTTGGATTGTATGGACCAGACTGTCGGCGCCTTCACTCCAGTCAGAATCATATTATTTTCCCATCATTTTGTTGATTCAGCGTGTCAACGAATCAATCCTATTTATCCGCGGAGGCAACTGTCTCGCCATGGCTTTCAACGCCTCTTTGCTGTTCTAAACCAACAATTGCCAACGTCTATGGGAAGTATAGAAGACTCAGTGGCAAAGTGGCAATTTGGCGGCACGTTTGCGGTATTAAAATGAAATGCTAATTATAAATTAATTAAAAATGACATTAACTTTAATCTTGTTGATATTTAAAAAAAGATTATAGTGGCTACAAAAAATAAAATGCGAACGACCTTAACTAATCTATAAAAAAAAGCATTTAAAACCCGCACAAAATATATTTCTAATAAACAATTTGTCCTATTAACTTGTCAATATCAGTCAAACCGTTAGGATTTTACGAAATTCAAACTTAATTTGCTGTTTAAGGGGGAGGGTCTCCCCTTAAGCTTTAATTTCAATATTTTATGCATCAATTTTATTTCAGGTTAAACACCGTACACAGTATTAAATTATAACCTGAACTTTACACCAGCTTTTGCTTAAGGGGTTCGAAAAGATTTATCTTTAAGTGTAAGTCTTTTTTAAAATGCCATGTTTGTCTAATGAAGATTTTAATAATTAAGTTAAAACGAAAACTTAAATTTCTGTAAGCCAGGAAATCAAATTAAACTTACTAATTCGTTTAATACTCCCATTAATTTATTATTTATTATCATTAATCAGTTTACATTTTTCACCACAGATTTAAGGCTGTTTGCCAACATCAAATGATTAAAGGCCCACTTATCATAAGTATTAAGTCCACTATCTTTAATATTTCTACCACTGACTAAATAGAATATTAAAACCACAGTATATTGTCCTTCGGCCATAAAGTACTTGCAATTAGTTGCCGTAATTACATCCCTGGCCGCAATGTAAGTAAAGTATCCAGCAACCTAGTTCATATAAAACTCATTATAACCATTCGTTTATACAGATGACATTTGAGCAGAGAAACTCGAGTTTTGTATTGCCCAGTTCATTATCCTTGGGCAGAACGGAGCTAATTGTCGCTGCCCCAAGGGGGTGTTAATTTAGCCAGGTCCAATTGAGGTGTGCTCACTATTTAGAGCCAAGGACAATTGCTATTTATTCGCTCCCCTTTGAATCTGGGCTAATTGAATTGCATTCGCATTCAAAGAAATGCACCTGGCTCTGGCCCTGGCTTCTAAGAATAAATTGCACTCCGACACCTTGAGGTATCTGGCGGCACGGCGCAATGAATGGGATTTGCTGGCATATGTTTCCTCTTTGGATGCAATCCGCATATGTTCGTCTCGATTGGCATCTAAGCCAATTTGCCAACTGGAAATTGAGTCGTGCACTTGGCTGCACTCCTCTGGGAAATTCTGAGCATGATACGCCCAACTAACTAACAAACAATTGCGGCCAAATTACAGAAAGGCTGCAGGATAACCCGAGGAAGTTGCAGGTGGCGGTGTGAACAAGACCTCATTTGTGCCCTTTGCACCCATATTTCACAGTGCGTCTGGTTTATGGCTTATTGCCATTTGTTGTGTCACAAGTCATTTCATGCGCTTTGAACATAGCCCATTATCCATTCGCCTATAAATCCCCCGATGGCAAATCTGGACTGAAATCATAAATTTATGCATATCAGGGCAATTTATTTGAATTTGTTGCTTATGGTGTTTGGGTATGAATTTAAAAAAACAAGGAAAGTGCTAGAGTTGTGGTTTGATTACGGTAAAGTAGGATTTATTTCCTTTTCGAAAGTAGGAAATTGCAAGTTAACGGACTTAACATTTTATTTGAATATAATGAATTGCCTGTTTATTTAAATTTTGGGGTAAATTGGTATATATTTTTTATATTTTGAAACATGTTTTGAACAATTAAAAGCCAAGACATATGCTGGCCTCATCTAAAAATGTATAAGGATCATATATATTATTTATTATTATTTAAAACCAATCCAAATAACAACATGATCCTTAAGAAAATCACAAATTTTTATGTGCCACTGCTTCCCACTATTTAATTAAATATAGAATTTCATATAAACAAAGAAAACTGTATCCCTTGACGTCAACTTTTGCCGATATACTTAGCTTTCAAGTCGATTTAATGTTTTGTTTTTTCCTGTATATTTTCTATTTTCCTTCTTTTTTTATACAAAGATAAACGCCTAGATAAATCTTTGTGATATATACGCGGCTCCAGAAAAAAAAAGTCTTAAGAATATTTATATCGTACAATGATGTGTGAACTAAAAAACTGAGAAAAACTGAACGAAAAAGAAAGAAATTGTTAAAAACACACAAAAGAACAAGACAAAAAACAAGCTAAAAAATTGGACACCACAAAACAAAAAACAGAACATCTGTCAGAGACAACAGCAGAAAAGACAGCCTAAAAAATTAATGAAACTTTCGGTTTCGACCTTCTAACATTTCGGTATTGGGCGGTAGACACCCCCATAAAAAAAATAATAATATAGAGAAACACTTGTGCCAAACATATCAAAACATTGTCCACATTTGTGCTGTCATCTCTGGGCCAAATAGACTTGAGTAATCTTTATTCATATACGTTGTATAATTGTATTCACGTATATCTACTTTTCTTTTTATTACATATTTGTTTGTGGCTGTTAAATGATCGCTCTCGTTTCCCCTCCGTTTCATGAATGGAATGCAAAGCCAGAATATACTTAAAGTCAAAAATAATAAACAGGATGTGCAGGCTGTGTGTCTGTGACGTCAGCAGGCTATTGATAAACGAGTGACTTCTGCCCTCAAAAAGAGGAGGATAGATCGGAGGAAGTAAATCGCAAGTGGAAGAATGTTTGCTAATTGTTAATGGCTTTCTGAATTATATTTTTGAAATTCAAAAACTTTTAGCCCAAAGTGTCAGCAACATGTTCTATATAAGTCTCAAACAAAAAGTGAGACAAATATTGAATCATTTTGCCAGTTTGTCTGCCCATCATCAATCCATCACCAGCCAAATTGCGACAGTATTCAAGGTTATTTTTATGCAATTTCCATATAAATAGATTTAAATTTGTCGCCTTAACTGTATTGACCCTAGTGTCCTTGGGGATTAAGAAGATGAAAGGAAACAGACATCAATTTATTTATAAAGAAATGGGGCAAGCAAAATGTGCCAAATAACTTGGAGATTTTTTAAAATTTTCAATTTTCCAGTCCAAAGAAAAATTCGTCTGGCATTCAATTTTAATGAAATTATAAACAAAATCTGTTTTTCAGGCACATAGTATATGAAAGCCAAATAAATTATGGAAGGCAAACCCATAGTGGCATTGAGCAAGTGAACACATATCTCTTTATACATAGAGACCATGTATCTACTTTGTACACCCCTCATGATCTGCAATTGTGGGGTTGTAGAAACAATTAATTTTCAAGTTCATTTGCGTGGGTCGATGTCGGTTTGGGATGCGGAGCCGATCAGACCCTAGCTGGCCATAGGCTATAGATACGGATTTCAGATGCAAAATCAGGCGAGCGCTTATATCCACACGTATATATCGAGTACACATATTTATTTTTATATTTCGAGAAAAATTCATTTGAAGGTGTCTGCTATATGTTAAGGTTAAACATCGTTATATATAGATTTGGCAAAACTATGTATTAGTGCCACATTATGTGTGTATTTTTATTCATATTGTATGTTAGACAGCATAGAGAGAGATAAAGCTTTTCAGCTGTGGCATTAAAACCCATTAGGCTCTATTTATGAGTATTTATGAGTCCCTAGGTGATCTAAATTGAAAAAAGTTGCGAACTTTAATTAAAATGTTGAATTTTCTTGGATGAGAATATGAAATAGCGGAGGGATAGTGAGAAAAAAAAGTACATTTTTACACTTTCACCCTGATAAACCAAATATATCTTTAAGACACCAGAACTGTGAATAAATTTACTGAAAAAACATCATTTAATTTTTGAAAACAATAAAGAGCATACAAAATAGTCACAAACTCAACATTCGTTGGTATAAAACAAAAGGCTCAAATGTATTTATTTTTGCTAATTTGCTATGACTCAAAATTATATTTATATTATTTAATTTTTTGGTTGCTTTTCTGAGCCGGCGAGTCAAAACAAATTGCTCATACGCAGCGTTGACATTGTGGGATCTTTATAATTCGTTTTTCGTTTAGTTGCGTTTCATTTCACTTGCGAAAACTACAGACGGCCTTCACATTGGAAAGACAATTTATTACAGACCAAGTGCGAGAGTAATAAAACGTATATAAATTATTTGTTGGAATTGCAGTCACTCAGCGTTTGACTTTCTGACAGGCTGCAATTTCCTCCCCTCGTCCTACTTTCAATGCAGTTTATAATTAGTTTTGGTATACTGCGTTATAAAATATGGGGAATTTGGGAAACGCAAATTGTTCGACATTGTTTGCATTTGTGTCACTAAATAATCAGCTTACATTTTGACCTCATTTCTCAAAAGGCCATAAATCGAATTTATTTAAGATTTTCGTTTTGAATTATAAGTATTGTAAAAATAATTGATGTTCCGTTTTTGGGGACATTATTCCTCGCCAATTTTTGTGTGCCCTTTAG